CACTTATAATAGGGAGTTCAGTGAAATAGATGTTTTCATGGGTAGCAAAAAAATTTTCCTAGACAATGTCAGAAAGATATTTATGTGAAGTAACGCATTATTGCTATTATTATTTACTTTATTTATTTATACTATACAAATATTATCTTACATCGTAGTTTGTTTTAATCAAGACTAATTTTTATTCAGTCAAACAATAATTTTATAATATATTTACATAAACTTAAAATTACTTAAAAACTAAAGTTTAAAAATTACTAATGATAATAACTATTTACAAAATTGTTGTTGTTGTTTGTTTTAATTAAATTTGTTTGTTTTGCGACGAATATATTTTTACATACCAGTATTCATCAATGTGTGTGTGGACTGGATCATTTAACACAACACTTGATCTTGCCAAACATAATCATGGGGCAGTATAGAATTGTGGTCAGGTGTCTATATAAATTTCTTTACTGTTTTTAACTTGATAGTTTAAGCAAAATTCGTTAATGCTGTGGATAACCTTTTTGGCCTAATTAGTTTAAGAAAAATATTTGATTTAAGTCTATTATATGTGTCGGCTGTTGTTATTCCAAATAAATAAAATAAAAAATAAAAATAAATAAAATTCTGGAGGTAGCGGGTTCGATTCCCGCACAGTACAAACATTTGTGTGCTTGAACTAGAGGTGGGCGCCGATATACAATTGGCCGGCGGCGGCGCGCCGACTTTTTGACCTCGGCGGCGGCGGCGTCGGCGGCGTGACCTTGTTTGACCTTTGTTCATTAGGTTTTTTTTTAAATCTGCTTTTTTAGTATCTGTCATTAAGACTAATCAGGTGATTTGCAGTTGGTTGGGGTTTGAGCCACTAGAGCAGTGGTAAACCCTAGTAAATTAGCTCTCTTGATCATAGATACTTTGATATTTGGATAGCGGGTTTGGCTGACATCAGGTTCTCGTGTATTTCCTAAAGGCGAGCGTATCAGTGTGCCGATAAAAGTACCCTTAGCATGTATTTTTGAGCTCTTTGGAGGCACATAGTTGGATTAGCTGACTGTCGGTGGAATATTATATTCAGTTCTGTTTTATTTATATTTATGGTCTTTCCATGTCATCCTACGGTCCAGGATTTTAATGCAGGTTGACTGCAGCAATGTGTCGTGGTCTAGATTGGCCGGAGGATAAGTTTCACATCTTAAATGATAATATGGTGAGACTTCGGGGCTTGATTACATGCGCCACTTGGTCAGCCAAGCAGCTGAGTTTGCAACAGTCTAGTCACTTTAAGATCACAGTTACATTTGAGGAAGGCCGCAGCTTTCTGGTGTCTGGGCTACTTTACTAGTAGATGTTATAGAGTAACGGACCAAGTACAGAGTCCTGGGGTACTCCAGCTCTGCAGCTAAAAAGATAATATTTTATTTTGTCACCGAGTTTGATTTAAAACTGTCTGTCACTGAGATAAGAATCCATCAGGAGGTAGTAGAAGTGTGCTAGAAGGTACTTTTTAATTTCATAGAATAGTCCTATATGATAAACCCAGCTGAAGCCGCAGCGAAAGCAGACGTACAGGATTCTTTCTTATCCAAACATTGTACTGATTATGGTTGGTATGGTTTCTGCCAAAGTTTATGTTCGGGTTTACTATATTACATGGGTCATACTTAGGCAAGGGAATAAACGAGCAAGAATGATCCTTTTCCATAATTTTAACAATACAAATGTCAGATTAATTGAGCGATAAGAGAATTCGTTAGGCGACTTGCCAGGCTTATGGATCATTTCCAAAGTTAAGAGACTTGCGAGGTTCTCACTCAGTGTGGTCATTGTCAAGACCATGGACTTCATGGTGATCAGATCAAATGCAAGTGCTTTACGAGGGTCCATTTTGGCTATTTCTTTAGCTAAGCCATCTCTCTTAGCGTTAGTTCTTTCGTTTCAGCCGAAAGACGTCCTGCGCCGCTCGCATCCAGTCACTTTCTGCGACCTTCCCCAAATCTGCTATTCTGTGGGCTATGTCAGTCACTTTGTCCTCCTGCGTCTTTCGCCCTCAATTAGCGTAGTAGGAATCAATCTTCTACTTTGAACTTGAGGAGGGTAAGCGGAAACATGGCGGTCAACTCCTCAGATTACAAAAGTACAAAAATGTCCAGAAGAAGCATACGAAAAGATGCAAAATGGGCCCTCTCAAATCACAATGGGAAGGTTTGGCAGCACAGCACCTAGAATGGCGGGAGATTGTGTTGTGTCCGCGAATTTAAGGAGCAGCGCACAACTGAACTCGACGCAAAACGCGATGATGTAAATCCCGTCCATCTGCCGCCATTCACTATAATTATGTTGGCGGAGGGTACTCTCAATGTGCGAGGAGTTTGCCGCGAAGATGGGTTATGTAAGCCATCTTCGGGCGCACCAGCGCCGCTAAGATAGCTAAGTCACCATGACCGAAATCGGTCGGATGAATCATCATCATCAGTAGGAATCAAAGGCAGGCATAGCTGCAAGTCACGGATCAAGTCCAATGCTTGATCTTATTATTTTTATTGAATTATGGATTATTTGGATTATCCGTGTCAATGGGTTTAAATAAACCGGTTTGTCATGTAGCAAAGGTCTGAGATTTTTCTTGTCAGTTCGCACTCATGTATTACCGGACCTTATAAGCGGAGAACACTTTGAGGGAGGTACTTTGTTGCCTTCCAGAGGTTATGGTTCCCATTTGTATTCCGAGACATATTTGCCAATCTCTGTGTGAGTGATTCGCTTAAAGTATAGTCCAATAGTGTGGGTTGTCTGCCAGACGAAGGCGGGTATTTTTTTCTTGACAGCAAGAGGGACCGGCGCCTCTCGCGATCAATTATTTACTAGACCAAGCAGCAACTGGAATAATGTACAGTCGCAGAATGAAAAGGTTCGTCACCTTAGTGTCGGTTTTCGCTTGCACTAGGTACTGTAAGAGTCAAACCTGCCAACATAACAGTGCAAGAAACAGTGCTGCTAACATTTAAATAAATATGACGTTTGCTAACAAATAAGGTTTTGCTTGTTTATTTTTCTATCCCATCACAGTGCAATGCAATGATGACATTGACCAATTGACAATAGTTTTTTTTTATTTAATAGAATAATAATGGCAGGTTGAACCAACAAGAAGGTTTTAGTTTCTCAATCATAATAATCTTCTTGACAAGATAAATCGTCAAACAACTTTGATCTGAATAATTTTGAACTTTACTGACGAACAGTTAAAGATTATTTTCTCTAACTCGAGATTATTCTGTAACATAGTTTCAAAAGGTAACATGTGCTCGCGATTCGTTGAAGGAATCAATTTGAAAACTGACGAACCTTTTCATTCCGTGACTGTACTTGAGTAACTGTTACTACTGCGAAAAAATTATGCCCATCACATAATTTACATTAACTCAGACAGTCAGGCCGCGCTGATGGCCTCAAACTCCAACTTAATCACCTCAAAGTTGGTAGAAAACTGCATGAGTCGACTGAATACCCTAGGAGAACGTAACAGAGTAACGCTGAGATGGGTTCCAGGCCCAGGTCACGTGGGAATCGTGGGCAATGAAAATGCCGACGAACTGGCCAGAGCGGCAGCGGAGGGAACACAATATGGTCCAGAACCCTTTTGTGGCATTCCCAAAAGTCTCGCTCGAATGACCCTGGAGAACATCTATTTAAACAAATCCTTTAAGGCATGGTCAGACACGCCAGGATTAACTCATTCCAAAGCTCTCATAAAAGCCTATGACCCAAAATGCTCTAAGCAGATCATAGGACTGAGTAGGATCAAAATGCGCATCTTAGTTCGAGCCCTCACTGGACACTGCAGCTTAAACAAGCACTTGTCCATTATGGGACACAAGATGTAAAACATATGGCCCCCCAAAACATACTGCAATTCCTAATGGATGCAGGACTCGGGGGCGAACTGTAAGGAAAATAGCGCCGATCACAATAGATCGGTACCGGTCGCAGTGATACTAGGACTATATTGAACTAGAATAGCCGCTCAACTCAATAAAAAAATAGTTCTTCTGCGTTCGAAACACAAATTAGTACAGTATAGAAGAGGAATAAATTGCAAATAGTTGGTACAGTATCAGTATCGGCGCGCCGACAGCTGGTCGTCGGCGGCGGCGGCGTGAAAAAATTCGCGGCGGCGGCGGCGCGCCGGCGTGGCGCCCACCTCTAGCTTGAACATATTTCTTGGTATTGGACTGGGTGTTTTCTATGTATAATAAGTATGTATTTACAAAAAAAAGTATTTAAGTATGATTATATCCGTTGTCTAGTACCCATAGTACAAGCTTTGATTAGTTTGGGACTAGAAGCGCAGTGTAAATGGTAAAAAGGATATTTATTTTATTATTTATTTATTCGTGTTTACCAGTTCATCCTAGACGTACGACTGGACTACCGCATCAGCTGCCTGCTGTCGATCTTCAAGAAGGAGTTCGAACAGGCCAGCGACCGAACGGACGCGCTCGCCCGAGCCGACGTCGAGGCCATAGGGCTCCAGGCTGAAGGCATCTTTAGCTGCCGGTAAGTGGCACTCTGGTGGGGGTAAAGGTGGCAGTTTTCTAAGTCAGAGACCTTACGTAGCTGTCTCTGTTTTGATAGATTTACGCCGGGTTGCTACGAGTATATCAATCCTGTCAACTCTCGAAATAGCTATGATTTTCGATGTCTTTTCATTTTCGTATTGTTTATAAGATTATTTATCTTCTATAACACAAAAATGTGTTGGTAAGCGCATAAATCAACAACACATGGACCAATTTTACCAATTCTTTTTTTTTTAAATGTTCATTGAAGTCAGAAGACGGTTTATATGGCGAGAAAAATTCGAATAATTTCTGGGAAAACTCTAAAAACAGCCCTTTTTTCACGCGGGCGAAGCCGCGGGCGGAAAGCTAGTTCAATATAAAAGAGTAAAAACATCGAAAATTATGGATATTTGATCGAAAACAAATTGAAATTTGACAGTTGAAGGACGGATTTTAATAGGGATTGATTATAGCAACCTGGCCTTAGGGCCCATGCACACCACATTTTTTAAGACACCGTCAACGCGCGTTTTACTCTCGTGCTTTAGCTTCTAGACCAAAAGTGCTACGTTGATAACGTCGCATATATATTGAAAAATGTGGTGTGCATGGGCTTCGTTTTATCCAGTCTCTCTGTAGACTTGACTTCATTAATGTAATACGCAGGGTTTAACATTTAACTATTTATTTCAAATAGAAATCGGAATACTAATTTTTAGCACGGCATTGATTGGGTAATTGGGGTTTAATGTATGTTCTGATTTTTATAACTACTTTGCCATGAATGTGACCAGAAGAAACTGAAGGACACTAACCAAGTAATCTTAATAAATACTGACAAAAAAGCATTAATGATTATAAAAATAAAATGTTTTCAGGACTACTTGCATTCGCCATCTATATATATATAAAAGAAAGTCGTGTTAGTTACTTCGCTTATAACTCAAGAACGGCTGAACCGATTTAGCTGAAAATTGTCAGGGAGGTAGTTTAGAGCCAGGAGAAGGACATAGGATACTTTTTATCCCGTTCGAAATTTAAAAAAAAAAGTGCTTATTTATTGCCATTAAGGCGGAACAAAGTTCGCCGGGTCAGCTAGTTATTTATAAAGCGACACGTAAATGCGTTTTCATCAGTAAATAATTTAGTAGAGCTGTAGTTAGTGACTAACGCATGACACATTGGTGGTGGGTCACGATATAATATTAGCCTTGTTACTTTGCTTTCTACAAATCACAATTACACAAAGCTGATTTATCTCATTCACAGTTAAACCAGTAAATAAGTGCAGTTTTATCGACTAAAAATGTTATGAATAGCCAGTCCGGTGCAATAACCAATATTATGTGAATTGTAGATAGCAAAAAGTATTAATAGATCCTAATTAGGTACTAAAATATATTTATTGAGCTATTTTACAGACCTGAGGTGCAATTGTGTAAAGCAATCGTATTCATTTAACAGTTCAAAACTTACGCTATATTCTGTCAAACGCTTTGATTAACAGATTTTATCGTACGTTTTGAACTGTCAAATGAATACGATTGCTTTACACAATTGCACCTCTGTAATATAGTTAATAATAATATACCTACTACAGAAGTGTTTTAATTGTGCACAAATATTGTTTTTCAATAAACGACATTGAACAACTTTCCGTGAGATTTTTATTTAAAGCTTCTGGCTCATACTGATGTGTTTTTATACAAAATGACAGTCGTGTCTAGTGCCCGTATTCACAAACATTACTATGAGGGCTCACTGTGCGCATGAACGCACAGGGTGACAACGCTGTGCGTTCGATTTGCTTCTTCAATTAAGCAAGCATCGTTTGTGAATACGGGCTTAAGAGTATACGTACATAGCGTTTAACTGAGTACAATACTAAAATCCAGCGCAGTTAAGCGCTATGCATATGACAACTATACATAGCTTGTATATAAATATAAAACTCACTCACAACTGTAAGCCAGAGGCTTAATAAATCTTCGACATTACACTATTATATTATATTTTATTTATACACTATCTAATGATACACATTATTTCAGAGCGATACAGACAGTGCCCGACAGCTGTCTCCCAAAAAATGTAGATTTGTTAGTAAGATGATTACTTGCATGCACGAGTGACGCGTGTAACCGCTGTGGCCACAAACTTGACTTCTTCCTTGATTTAATGACTATTTTATAATCCTACTAGCTTTCCGCCCGCGGCTTCGCCCGCGTGGAATTTTGTCTGCCACAGAAAAACTTTATCGCGCGCGTCCCTGTTTCAAAAACCGGGATAAAAACTATCCTATGTTCTTTCCCGGGACTCAAACTATCTCTATGCCAAATTTCATCAAAATCGGTTGCGAGGTTAAAGCGGGAAAGCGTAACAGACAGACAGACAGACAGACAGACAGACAGAGTTACTTTCGCATTTATAATATTAGTTGGGATGACCTTCTCAAAAGTTTTTTAAAGACAATAATGGTTTTTTTTTTCTTGCACTTTCCAAAAAATCTGTGAGTTGTATTTCCTGCAACGACTGAGCTTATTGCGCCACTTCTTAGCACCAGCTGAAGTGGTATCCCTAAGTGATGATAGAAGATATTTGGGACGTGTATAGGTTCCCTAAAATACGTTTAGCTGAGCAAAATAATTTTATTCATAAATCTTCCTCTTCAAATTTTTGCTATGCCCGACAGAGTCCATACTGACCTATAGTATTTTGAACATCCTATTTAACGTCTGTATGAATTTGAATCTCAAGTTTATGGTCACAAAAAAGCTTGAAATGAATGATGACTGGTACATGTAACCCTATAATCCGCCTTGTAATAGCAATTCTAACAGCATGGTTTCTAAGAAGCATATACTAACAATATGGTTATAACCCTAAGACTGCGCGCGGGTGACTTTTTGTCACTGTGACAGTATACCTTTCTCTTTTACACTTTTATAAAGAGAGAAAGAGAGACAACGTAGTGCTTATTCTTATCCTATCTATGAAGATACATACCTACTGTCACGGTGACAAAAGTCATCCGTGCGCGCACGCTCTAAATGTGTCCCCAATTCAATTGTATAGTGTGAAATGTGAAAGATTTGTTTTGTTTTTGTTGGAATTGTTTTGTTTTTCCTTTGTATTTTATTTTCTTAATAAGTAACTCTTTTTCACACCTTACAAAAATATGAATGTCCCTTTGTAATATGTCCCAAGTGTACGCTTTTTCGCTTACTACCAAGAATGAAATGCATATTGCCCAAATACTTACAAAAACTAAAGTGTAAAATGCAGTCCTTGTTTTGTTCTTAAATTCACAACTGTCAGATATATTGTAAAAACTTAATATCACTTTTACTCAACAAGACATGTTTGTATGATTTGAGTTTCTTTTGATTTGTTTTCTTATTTCCTTATTGTTTTATGTCTCTGGAATGCTCTATACCTTCTCCAAATCACAAGAAAACATTCAAGTCTAAATTTAAATCCAGGGACGGACTTGACCTGGACGAATGCGGCGGCCGAATGGTCCTCCGAGTCCTGCTACAGCTGTGCTCGCAAGGGGCTTCGGCGGCGCTGGTCTCTGGAGCCCTAGCGCTGTTGTTCCGGCACTTCAGCCAGCGGCAAGAAGTGTTGGCTGCCTTCAAGCAGGTATTATACCTACCTACCTATATGTAAAAAATACAGTAGCAATAAGGTAGTTATTGGCAGCAACATGGCAGGGGGGAAGGGAGGCGGTCTATATCCAACCAGTGAAAAGTTATAATAGAATTCTTGAATGGAGACCCGGCAAATGCCGTCAATAGTCCGAAAATCTCAAGAAGATGCCAGTTCGTTCTTTCGTTCGTTTTAGCGGAAAGACGTAAACTGCTGGACAAAGGCTCAAGGATTTTCACAAAGACCGGTCCTGCGCCACCCGCATCCAGGCACCTCCCGCGACCTTCACCAGCTCGTCGATCCACCTAGTGGGAAGCCTGCTCACACTACGTCTTCCGGCTCGTGGTCTTGGAAGATGGCAATAGCTAGATGAAAAAATGTGACATTTTCGAAAGAATTAAAACTAAAGTTCACTGCAGCTGCTGCATTAGTTATGTCGTCTAACCAAACTTAAAACGCTATTACTAAACGCAACGCTAAAACTAACGCTACACTAGTAGCGCTAGATCCAAATCTAAAGCCGTCAAGTCAGCCAAAGTCGCTCTAAACTAAAGTATAGTTCGTTTCATCCACGAAGACGCGCCGCACCAATTTTTGGTCGAGGGAAGCGCGTGGTGCGGGGAGTTTGATCCGAGCAATCCGACCGTCATTATTGTAGTGTGTACTCATGGATCATTTAGCGTGTACCGATAACACTCAAACATTAGCGGAAGAATGGTGGGGCGCGTCTTCGTGGATGAAACGATCTATAAGGTGTATTAAAATGTTCTTAGCGAATAGAGTTGCTTCTCAAACTAAATAAACAACTTGAAAAAATCGAACTGCCTAAGGCGGGACTCGGAAAACGTGGCCTTAACAGCGTGGCATTACACTTGAAAATTTCAACAGGTTCATCCAGTATCTAAGTCGCTCAGTTGGAAGAGCAGTCGCCCGGCAAGCGGAAGGTCGTGGGTTCGAGTCCCGCCTTAGACAGTTCAATTTTTTCAAGTTGTTTATTTAAAATATAAGGTGTATGATTTTCTCCACCCAGGTCCAACTCTTAGTGTCGGACGCGGATGTGGAGTCCTACAAGCAGATCAAAGCGGACCTGGATCTGCTGCGCCAGAGCGTCGAGAAGTCGGAACTCTGGGTATTCAACAAAGGACGAGCTGGTATTCTCGATGACCATTCAGGTATGGACATGTTGTTTATTTATGTTTTAATTGGTAAAAAGACGCAAGATCATTTTTTCTCGATCTCAATCTTTTCCAGATTGAACTCATTTCATGAAATCTCATTTCGTGAAAAATCTAATTTAAATGCGTTTTTATGTGTGTCCCCTCTATTTTAGATTTTAGACCCTTTAGACATTTATTTTTTGTGTATTCATTTAGGCTTTAACTACACTCGCGAGCAAAAGTATGGAATCACTTACATGAAGTTGTTTCCACGCGATCTTGTGTACTAACGAATTTGTTAGTAACAAAAAAAGTAGCACCGTTTTAAAGATTAAACTTTTTACTTTAAATTGATACCAAATTCATTTAAATCACACCAGTATTTAAAAAGATATCCCGGCTGATGTGAAGAAGTAACGAAAAAGACATGTATCAACTGTTTGATACGTCACGAGTTGCGGCCTATTTACCCCCCATAAAAGCAAGTGTTTTCGGATTTTTGCTTTCATACGTTGATCCATACACATCTCCGCTTCTTTTGACACTTTACCTGGGATTCTACACCTTCAGAAGCAGCACAAATCGTTGCACTATTGCAAGAAGGGCTCAGCCAGCGGGCTGTCGCACGTCAGCTCCACATAAGCCAGTCCTGGGTTTCGAAAGTTTGAAGACGCTTTCAGGATACCGGTGGCTTTATCCTGAGACCAAGTCCTGAACATTGCCGGTGCACATCGCAGAGGGAAAACCGTTTTTTCATGTCAACTTCTCTACGAAATCGTCATTTGACTGGTATCGACGTCCAGCAAGAGCTCAGAAATGTTCGTAGGATAGCTGTTAGCGAGTGGACAGTTCGTCTAAGATATGAGCAATAAAATTTGACTCCAAAAAGGCCTGCCACAGGCTGGAAACTGACGGCAGGTCACCGACCAGCACGCTTTCAATTAGGTCGCACTCGGAAAGCGAGTAATGGAGGCGAGTTTTGTTCTCCGATGAATGCAGACTGTTTTTGCAGTGCAGCAGTCAAAGAGGTCGGGTCTATAGACGGCCTGGGGAGCGATTTGTGCAATGCTGGTTCGCTAAAACATTGGCTTATGGGGGTGGCTTGCTCGACTTCCCATCGAGATGTGTAGGAGCAAATTGAAAGCGTGCTTATCGGTGACCTGCCGTCAGTTTCAAGCCTGTGGCAGGCCTTTTTGGAGTCAAATTATATTGTTTATATCTTAGACAAACTGTCCACTTGCTAACAGCTATCCTACGAACATTTCTGAGCTCTTGCTGGACGTCGATACCAGTCAAATGACGATTTCGTAGAGAAGTTGACATGAAAAAACGGTTTTCCCTCTGCGATGTGCACCGGCAATGTTCAGAACTTGGTCTCAGGATAAAGCCACCGGTATCCCGAAAGCGTCTTCAAACTTTCGAAACCCAGGACTGGCTTATGTGGAGCTGACGTGCGACAGCCCGCTGGCTGAGCCCTTCTTGCAATAGTGCAACGATTTGTGCTGCTTCTGAAGGTGTAGAATCCCAGGTAAAGTGTCAAAAGAAGCGGAGATGTGTATGGATCAACGTGTGAAAGCAAAAATCCGAAAACACTTGCTTTTATGGGGGGTAAATAGGCCGCAACTCGCGACGTATCAAACAGTTGATAAATGTCTTTTTTGTTACTTCTTCACATCAGCCGGGATATCTTTTTAAATACTGGTGTGATTTAAATGAATTTGGTATCAATTTAAAGTTAAAAGTTTAATCTTTAAAATGGTGCTACTTTTTTTGTTACTAACAAATTGGTTAGTACACAAGATCGCGTGGAAACAACTTCATGTAAGTGATTCCATATTTTTGCTCGCAAGTGTATATCTACTAAAATATTTCATATTCTTGTAGTTGTCCGCTATATTTAACAAAATATCGTATTTCTTGGCTTCATACTGTACTTTTTTGTATACCGACATGGTTTGCGGTGTTTTAGTGGAAGTAATATACAGGCTGAGTTCTTTAAAGTATACAAAGTAAAGATTTTTTTTAATATAAAACCATTTTTCCACCAAATGGATATCGAAATAAAAAATATCCCCCCATACGAAATTAATTTTTAATTTTCGTTTGTTTTAGAGAACGTTAAATAGCAAAGTTATTGTAATCAAACATATCTTTTTATTTTTGCTCTATAAGGCTTATCCTGTATGTCATTTACCTTCCTTTTATATTTTAGTGTTATGTAGTGTTGTCTCCTTCTATCATTTATTGAACCCTCGTTCACAAACAGAGGAACACTCCTATGGATACCGAGTGAGTTTCCCTTTTCTTCTGTGACACATTCTAAACAATGCATGATAACATTTTCCTATTTTTTTTACAAAGACACTTATCACAAAATGTGTACGTCAAATCTCCTGGCACTATATGCACACGACTATAGTTTTATTATTTATATTTATTTATTTTAGAAATACATCGACACAACGATAATTTTCACGTTCTATTTTGCCGTATGCTATGATATAAAAAAAAGCATACAAGCAAAAAAAAATGTAAACAAAACTATATTCAGTGTTGAATTATTTGTCGACTTTTCCATCGTCATTTTGTGTGTTTGTCTCTTGCAACAGAAATTTTATATTTGGCATACAAATTAATTTCAATGTCAATAGCAACTTTATTCTGCCATATTTTATTCTAAAAGACAGAATACGAACACAAAGTTTATTAGTTGATACTTTTTATCTACTAAAGTCTGGTCGCCGAGCAGATGGAATTTCGTCAGATGAACCAAAGCTACCCATCCTTATCGCTCGCATGTAATTATATTGCTGTCGCGCTCGCACACTCACTGCGGCCGCCCGTCGCACAGTTGCGACAACAATATAGTTACGTGCGATATGGGTAGCTTGGGGTCAACGGACGAAATTTTATCTGCTCGGTAACCGGACTTTAATACCACATCACAATGCATAAAACCGTCACAGATATGACTATACTTTATATCTTAACCATGATTTCGTATCATTAACAGGTATAACAGGCACTGTGGGCCCAGGCGGTGCAGTGCTTGAGAGGAACGCATCTCTTGACAACGTTCTAGACACCTCTAGAACGACTAAGCATGACCATATGAACGAGTATAAGAAAATTAAAGAGGTAAAGTAGTCTTTTAACTTTTAATTCGATATAATCTTGTCGATCAATCAATTAACATTATACCATACATTGGCTTCAATGCTTTTTATAACATCAATAAATAGTCACTCACTTTTCTCATTTCCACTAAATCACAAAGTCTGTTATTGCGCAGGCATATTTTTGTTCAAGTTCCAAAACCAATGCACATATTGGTGAATTGGTTTCAATGATTATATCAAAAGGTAAAGTTCTAGACAAGTTAGTCCTGTAGGTCTAAGATGCACGCCGCGATAAGCGGTTATCACGCCATTTTATTGATTTTGTCCATACATTTTGACGTCGATAAAAGTTATCACGGTGCGCATCTTAGGCCTACTGAATAGTGTAAGTAATTCATAGAAATCTTTGACGTACTGGCATTGATGGTGCATTTTCAATTAAATACAAGTCGCCATGCTAAAAACTTATTGATTTAACTTGTAGTTTATACAAAATGCAGGAAAGCTGTAAGTTGGTACTTTAATTGTCACACTTGCCAGTATTTGTTGTATTACTAGGCCTGTTCATCTCTGCGAGTTTACATCGAAAACAAAACACGCACGAGCGAGCATTGACACGCACGCGTATTCTTGTGTATGATGAAAAAAATTAAGAAAATGGTGTACTAAATACATACTATGCAGTATTTAACTGCCTAAATAATAATAAAAACACAGAATATACTTTTTTAAGTTGCCTGAAGACACTGAGAGGTAAATAAGTAGTTAATATTATACAAGATAATTCATGCTAAATCATATATTTCCTCCGCCATTTTCTGCAGTTTGGCACCTCACGTCACATCATTTTACCGAAGTCAGCCCTATAGCTTCGGCGCAGTGCCGATCACTGACGTTTGTCAACAAAATGGTGCTTGACTCTTGAGACAGGCTAAATTACACTACATTGTTAATGACATTGAGCATACATTTTTATAAATACCTTCGCGAAGTAAAACTTCTGTACGTAGTACTTATTATTATTCTGTGGTATTACTTTATACGTATTAATCGCAGATCCTCCAACGCATGATCAAGTACTGCACGCAAGGCAACAGCGGCGCCGGCGACACCGGCCGCCCGCGGCGCCACGAGCAGCGCCTGTTGCGGAACATCGGCGTCCATAATATCGTCCTTGACTTGCTGCAGGTCGGTGCTACACCTAACTTCATAATTATCATCAGAATCAGGTCATTAAGATTAACCGCAGAACACCGACTTTTAGTTGGCCCGTTACTTAGGCCCGATTCTAATTTGTATGAAGAATCGGCCGATACCAAATTGGTGTAATGTGCCCACTTTCATACATATCGATTAACAGCCCAACCCAACTATCAACCGACAGCACGACCCTTTCTAATGTAGGTACCAGAAACCAGAGACAAATTGAGGATTTGGTTTACAATCTCTACACCGATATCTGGTAGCGGATGGATAAAAAACGGAAGTTCGTGCTTTGTGCCGTTCCTTGGGGAATGTGTACGTACAGCAGTGGACTGTCATAGGCTAAATGATATAGATTAGTGGTTCCCAAACTAATTTAGTCTACTGCCCACTTAGAGAATAAATTATTTTTAGCGCCCCCCATTTTTGTAGTCAAGAGTCGAGCTCAGTCGATGTCTAAGAGTCTTCCTAGTAGATGACGCTTCCCAAGTCTCTACACAACGTCCCGATTTTTTTTCTGGGTCTCGTACCGCCCCCCTTTAAGCCTGCAGCGCCCACAAGGGGGCGTTATCGCCCACTTTGGGAAAGACTGATATAGATGACCGCTAGGGGTGATGATAATATGTACATTATGTACTCGTATTTTCTAATTATTATTTTTTTTATTTAACAACTTAAAGACAGTTACATTGAGACAATTACATTTAGATAGCTTTAAAAACCACTAGGGTTTGATGCTAAAGCTAACGAGTTTGCAGTGGGTACATTCACAATTCTATATCAAATTTTCTTTATCTTCTTTCAGTCGTTCTTTTTAGCGCTTGCGATGTTTGTCTTGAAGCTCTTAATAGAACCCAAGATATAACGATTCCATAAGTACCAAATCTTGGTCAAAATTGAATAAGGGTGAAGCCACACGGTGCGGTGCTACTGCATATAAAAAAAAATGATATGCCAGACGGTGCGTTCCGGCGCCGCACCGCAGGCACACCGCACTTCGATTGAGCGAGACGGTGCTGTAAGCAGTGATGCGTGATACCTAACGTGACCATTTATTTTCTGTGCCAGAGCGGGACAACTGAGGAATAGTTCTAAAAAAAAACCTGCGGAATTTTAAAATAAAACAAAGTTTTGGGAGTTTTACAAGTTTATAGAAGATTGAATAACACAAATCAAAGCACTAAACACAAAATAGATAAGTAGTGGGGTGACTTCTAAGTCGTATTTTTGTATTTGTCGGCGGAACAAATTTGTTTTAGAATATCGTCTTGTTTTTAGATAACTATGGAACTCACTGCATGATTTATTTATTTTCGTAATCAACATACGATTCGCACTGTGTCGCTCGCGCTGTTGTTACATTTAAAAACGATAGATGCATTCTTAAAGCTAAAGCGGGACGTTTTTGCTCTTGCGGGGGACAGCGGGACAGACAGTCTGAAAGCGGGACAGTCCCGCCCAAAGCGGGACGTATGGTCACGTTAGTGATACCACATGTGTGCAGTGATGCGGCAAAATGGCACCGCACCGCACCGTGTGGCTTCTCACTAAGGATATTTGATTTCATATAAACTTTAATTGCCAAGGTGCCTCACGACGAGGACGACGCAGACATGGATGAGCTGCTAGCCCTGGCGCACGAGTTTCTGCAGCACTTCTGCCACGGCAACCAGCAGAACCAGGCTATTTTGCACAAGCACCTGGATCTATTCCTCAATGCTGGGGTGAGTTCTGTCAATAGGGATGTTTCCTGAGTAAAAAAGCAAGAGTTTGAATTAGTCCTTCGGTTAACTTATCAAAAAATACTCGACACGTATTTTTCAATTTTTCAAACTAATGAAAATTTAAAGAGATAAAGTGCGCCAGAGTTCCAAAGAAGAGGCCCGTGACGTCAAGGCGTGCTTAAAAGTGTAGCACTTTATGACGTCACGCGGAACTTCAATGCATCATAAATAACTCCGTAATTACTTGTTTGATTGACAAAATTAAATAAACTATTTATTTATTTATGTTCTGTTAACTGCTTCGTAACTAACCAACACTCCAAAACTCACCATGTATACTTTTTCCAGATCAGAGAAGCGCAAACAGTGTGCGCAATATTCAAAGACAACGCAACGCTCTGCGCGCACGAGAACAACGAGAAAGTCGTCGGCCATTTTGTGCACTGCATAGAGTCGCGCGGCCGCCGCCCGGCCTACCTGCGCTTCTTGCAGACCATAGTGCACGCCGACGCACAGTACATCAGGAGGAGCCAGGACCTCGTCATGCAGGAGGTGAGCCAGTACACCTTATGCGCAGGTGATTACATATAGCACTCATTGTTAGGTACGCCATTGACTATAATATGGTTTTGTGACTCGCCAGTCGCCAGTGACGCCAACTGGTGAGGATACGGTGCTTCATAAGTTTCATAACTGCCATATTCTTCTTCTTTTCGTATCGACAACAAACCTACACAGTGTCAGCCCAAAAACTCCGCCACAAGAGTGGCGTTGTCAGTAGCACTCATCAAATCAATGGACAATGGTGCTGGTTGCATTGTTACAAAATTTTAAATTATTAAGATTTAGTACATAAGCCCTCAATGTAACTGTTTGTTGTCCCAAATAAAGAGAAAAAAAATCCTCCTGAGTGCAGTTGTTTGGGCATTCAGGGCATGAAATCAGGTGCTTCATCGACTGGGGAACAAAACCGCACCTACCATATTTATTTACAGAGTTCAAGGTTAAGATTTTATGCATCCAGATTTTTAGTTTCTAGTTCCATCGTTTCTTCATTGTTTATTCATCGTTTATTTACAGCATTATTGTGTTGCAGATGGTGAATGCAGGCGAAGACGTCCTGGTGTTCTACAACGACAAAGCATCATTCAACAACTTCATACAAATGATGAGACAATACAAACTGACCAACGAAATGCCAGAAGCTTTGACGTAATTATTTTTATATCACTATAATTTGTCTTATAGCTGACGAGTTTGCCTCGCGAGACAATATCTTACTGTTCAACATGAGTGAACTTGCAAGCAGAAAGTAGCTTTTTCACCAAAATGGTGCTGTGTCCCTAAGCCAAAAGTACTTTTCCAGAGCGCAAGATATCATTGGTCCACCATAGCATCGCTTGGCCTCTTTGTATGGAATATCGGTCGCACATCTTTGGTGGAAAAGATAGATAGATAAATCATTTATTTGGCAACACTTAACACACACAATTATTAAAGTTGCAGCATAACAATAATAAGAAAACAGCAGGAGACAATGATAAGCATGTATAAAAAGCAAGCTTAGTTCGTATCTTGATTCTTTTGACGTATCAAATACCACATCTATCGCATTAAAACTGTTCGTCTCCCATCAGATACCACATCCAGCTGGTGAAGCTTCTGACCTGCTGCACCATGGGAAAGAATGTGTACACGGAGATTAAATGCCACAGTCTGTTGCCGTTAGACGACATAGTGGCTATGATCACACACCCGCAGTGCATACCAGAGGTGAGGATTTTAATGAGGGCTATCGTTTTTATACTTAACAGTTGGCACCCCTGGCGACTGACAGGACCTTACTCTACAGTGGCGCCATCTTGATGAGTGCAAATGCGATAGTCCTCCTACCACTTTAGCGCTCACCAGTTGGCGCCACTGTCTTCGCTACTAGCAAGTGACAGGACCTTACTCTACAGTGGCGCCAACTGGTGAGCGCTAAAACGATAGCCCTCATTGGTTTTCAACCGTATCTTCATAGCGTAAGGTTCAATTTGCTTTGAGTCTGTTGCCGTTAGACGACATAGTNTACCACTTTAGCGCTCACCAGTTGGCGCCACTGTCTTCGCTACTAGCAAGTGACAGGACCTTACTCTACAGTGGCGCCATCTTGATGAGTGCAAATGCGATAGTCCTCCTACCACTTTAGCGCTCACCAGTTGGCGCCACTGTCTTCGCTACTAGCAAGTGACAGGACCTTACTCTACAGTGGCGCCAACTGGTGAGCGCTAAAACGATAGCCCTCATTGGTTTTCAACCGTATCTTCATAGCGTAAGGTTCAATTTGCTTTGAGTCTGTTGCCGTTAGACGACATAGTGGCTATGATCACGCACCCGCAGTGCATACCAGAGGTAAGAAGATATTTTTTACAAAGTCACCCTGTATAGGTATACTACACTCGCGAGCAAAAGTATGGAATCACTTACATGAAGTTGTTTCCACGCGATCTTGTGTACTAACGAATTTGTTAGTAACTAAAAAAGTAGCACCATTTTAAAGATTACTTTTAACTTTAAATTGATACCAAATTCATTTAAATCACACCGGTATTTAAAAAGATATCCCGGCTGATGTGAAGAAGTAAGAAAAAAGACATGTAGCAACTGTTTGATACGTCGCGAGTTGCGGCCTATTTACCCCCTATAAAAGCACGTGTTTTCGGATTTTTGCGTTCACACCTTGATCCATACACATCTCGGCTTCTTTTGACACTTTACCTGGGATTCTACACCTTCAGAAGCAGCACAAATCGTTGCACTATTGCAAGAAGGGCTCAGCCAGAGGGCTGTCGCACGTCAGCTCCACATAAGCCAGTCCTGGGTTTCGAAAGTTTTAAGACGCTTTCGGGAAACTGGTGGCTTTATCCCGAGACCAAGTTCTGAACATTGCCGGTGCACATCGCAGAGGTAAAACCGTTTTTTCATGTCAACTTCTCTACGAAATTGTCATTTGACTGGTATCGCCGTCCAGCAAGAGCTCAGAAATGTTGGTAGGATAGCTGTTAGCGAGTGGACAGTTCGTCTAAGATATGACAATAAAATTTGACTCCAAAAAGGCCTGCCACAGGCTGGAAACTGACGGCAGGTCACCGACAAGCACGCTTTCAATTAGCTCGCACTCGGAAGGCGAGTAATGGAGGCGAGTTTTGTTCTCCGATGAATGCAGACTGTTTTTGCAGTGTAGTAGTCGAAGAGGTCGGGTCTATAGACGGCCTGGGGAGCGATTTGTGCAGTCCTGGTTCGCTAAAACATTGGCTTATGGGGGTGGCTTGCTCGACTTCCCATCGAGATGTGTAGGAGCAAATTGAAAGCGTGCTTATCGATGACCTGCCGTCAGTTTCCAGCCTGTGGCAGGCCTTTTTGGAGTCAAATTTTATTGCTCATATCTTAGACGAACTGTCCACTCGCTAACAGCTATCCTACGAACATTTCTGAGCTCTTGCTGGACGTCGATACCAGTCAAATGACGATTTCTTAGAGAAGTTGACATGAAAAAACGGTTTTCCCTCTGCGATGTGCACCGGCAATGTGCAGAAGTTGGTCTCGGGATAAAGCCACCAGTCTCCCGAAAGCGTCTTAAAACTTTCGAAACCCAGGACTGGCTTATGTGGAGCTGACGTGCGACAGCCCTCTGGCTGAGCCCTTCTTGCAATAGTGCAACGATTTGTGCTGCTTCTGAAGGTGTAGGATCCCAGGTAAAGTGTCAAAAGAAGCGGAGATGTGTAAGGAACAACGTGTGAAAGCAAAAATCCGAAAACACTTGCTTTTATGGGGGGTAAATAGGCCGCAACTCGCGACGTATCAAACAGTTGATACATGTCTTTTTCCTTACTTCTTTACATCAGCCGGGATATCTTTTTAAATACTGGTGTGATTTAAATGAATTTGGTATCAATTTAAAGCTAAAAGTTTAATCTTTAAAATGGTGCTATTTTTTTTTGTTACTAACAAATTGGTTTGTACACAAGATCGCGTGGAAACAAATTCATGTAAGTGATTCCATACTTTTGCTCGCAAGTGTAGTTGGCCCGATGAACTTCGTACGGCTCCGTTTGTCATTAAAATGGTAATACGTCTGCCCGCAGGTGTATTAGATACATTGGAAACACTACTCTCCTTTTTAGGTACTTGGATAAAATTAGCCTATATGTTAATCCGTGGTGTTCAGTTACCTTCGAACTCCTATGTTCTTCTGATTAATTACGTTGCGGGTCCAATGACAGTTTAACTTTTCCCCGAGACAAACTTGACCTTCACTGGTTGGGTTTTTATTGGCGGTCAAGTTGTAGATCCTGGCTACACAGGAGTTGCAGTGGTGGGAAAGAAAGGTGGGAATTATAATTAATGAATTTATTCAAACTTACTTGTATTTCCAGTCGAAAGATCAATCAAAACTACTTATTTCCAGGTGAAAGAAGCCTACGTGGGCTTCCTGAACCACTGCTACATAGACACAGAGGTCGAGATGAAGGAAATATACTCCAGCAACTACATGTGGGATCTGTTCGAGCGGTCCTTCTTGCAGGACATGCACGCCATCCTGCAGGACCCTGCGCAGCCGTCGCCAGGTGACTAAACTATACTTAGCTTGTAAAGAATTATAGGTCGCCCAACGAAAGTTGAGGCAAACAGCAGAATAGTACCACCGCCACTCTATATGGATGTCGTGAGTCGACTATATTTACGTGTACATTAGGCTGCAGTTAGATGACGCAAAAACTAGAGACTAGTTACTAGGTTTCGTTCATAGAAAATGTAAACTCTATTACCTAGGCCAAAAGATTAAAATTCTTTTGGACAACCACACCGTGCGGCGGCCGCGCGGCTGCCTTCTGGATGATGCGCCCCCGCGCCCCTCCATAGCGTGGCGGCTGATCGATCTCAGTTGCTCGAGTTTTCTGGCGCGCGCCGCTTACTTCGCAGTCTAGGGATTCTTTGATAAATTAATTTTAACTTTAAATGTAGTTACCGAAGAGTTTATTTTACTATAACCATCGACTCTTGAAAACGCGTACGCGGTGGCCATGAGGTGGTAGTACGCGGTAGCCGCGCAGCAGCTACGCGGCCTTTTGGCGTACCAAATAAAGCTATCGCCCGGCCGCCGCGCGGCCTCTTAGCATCTATCTTCTTCTAAATTTTAAGGAAATTTTAAAATTGAAGGAGAAACTGACTGACTGACTGACAGATCAACGCACAGCCTAAACGGCTAAACGTAGGCACTTGAAATTTGGAAGGGACGTAGCTTAGGTATCGTAGAGATGCACTAAGAAAGGAATTCCCGAAATTCCTACGGGAACGGGAATTAGCGGGAAAATCCTTTTGTATGAAAAATCTAAACCGATTAAGTTAGACGCTTGAAATTTGGCATGCAGGTACCTTAGTAAACTTAAAGCTTAGTTACAACAGGATATTGCAAAATTCCCACGGGAACGGGAGTTAGCGGGAAAAAACATTTGTATGAAAAAATCTAAACCGCGTAAGATAGATGAAGGGGGTAAAACGGGATCCACGCGTACGAAGTCGCGGGCGGCCGCTAGTCCCATATAAACGGGCACTAAAGGCTTCCCAAATCCGTCTACCCAGCGTAAAGGATATTTTTTTGTTTGGTCGAAAGGGGGCGCGTCGTAAATAAGTTAGGGAACCCTTGCTCTAGTAAATTAAAATAAAACATTCTTTCACAAACACGGACACCACATGACAATCTAAAAAGTGACTTTGTTAAGATAGATTGATGTTTGTTAAGCTGTCTCCTATAAATGCTATAGGTCGCGTAAAGCGTCACGCCGTAGGCCACGTCACAATGTTTACCAATAGAAATGTACTGTTGTGGTCTCATTCAAATGTTAACATTGGCGTAAGGCGTCAATAGGAACGTTTGACGCTGACGTCGTACGCCGACGCCGTAGTGTTTAACACAAGACCGTAGCCTTACACCTTCACCGAAAAATTACTGGATGTATTTTGATGAAACTTTTAGGACCACATACTACTAACTAGAGCTGCTTTTTTTATTAAAATAACCGATAGTAATAGTTACTTTCAATGTCCTTTAACATCCCATAGGTCCGTCGACGTCCACAGCGTCGCCCCGCAAGGCGGCGAGCGCCGGCCAGAAGGCGTGGGTGAACTACGTGACAGACGTGCTCATGCACACGATTTGCACGTTCTTCAACTCGCCTTTCAGCGACCAGAGCACCACTGTACAGGTAAGGACATGGTCACCACTCGTCTTATTACGCTACGGGACTATTCCCACCTCTCGTTCCCACCGTCGCAACTCCTGTGTAGCCAGGATCTACTTCTACGTCTTTCAGCGACCAGAGTACTACTGTACAGGTGAGAACACAATCAACACGACATCACTCTTCTTAGGCTGGGTTGCACCATCTTACTTTAACTTGAAAATCTATCAAACTCCATTAAAAGCACCGGTTTACGGTCAAAGTTAGGTGGTGCAACTCAGCCTTATTGTTCTACGGGACTATTCCCACCTCTCGTTCCCACGGCCGGTCGGAACTGCTGTGTAAAGATCCAAGATCTACTTCTACGTCTTATTGTTCTACTGCACCTCTAGAACGCGCATTCTATTATCCCAAATTGTTATATTGTAACTCCAGAACGTGTTTATGACTCTGTAAGATGTGGTGTCAAAGTCAGACTCTTTCTATAAACACACACAGTGGGTAGACTACTGTGACCTCAGAAGTCTTCCTGTACTCGTTTTATATTGTACTGCTGTAACATCAGAACACGTCTACAATCTTCCCAACTGTACACTCAAAACGCGACTTCTATTCTTCCTACATTACACTACTGCAACTACAGGACGTGCAAGCTAAAAAATTTATGAACACAATACCGTATTAATTGTGAATGAGAGTTTATTGCAATTTTAATTAAATATTTTTGTCTTTTTACAAACCGCTTTCCATAATCGGATTTATCACCTGTGATTAATGTGAGTATTATGTTGACACTAACTTCTTCTTTAATGCTCGTTATTTTAAACTACTAAATCCTAAAAAAATATTTTCTCTGTCAGTGCTAGTTTTGCGGATAATGAAAAGAAATGCGTGTTCTCAGAAAATAAATTATGTTTCTGTTTGAAATCAAACGATAACTAATTATAATTAAAATGTATGAAAGTTAAGAATAATACAAATAATTAACCTACATAGACTAAATATTTACAATTAAAAAATATGTCCCAAATTTACTTTTGAAAAAGAGTTCAATGTGGTTATTGTTTCTTTCAGACCCGGCAGTCGATATTCGTCAAGCTGCTGCAGACCACATTCAGTATCTACCAGTGCCCGTGGCTCGCGCCGCCGCAAAAGCTCAGCGTGGAAAAGTGCATACGAACGCTGAGCGAAGTTGGTGAGTGTACAGGCGTAGCCCACTGTTGGGCTTAGATATCCACTATAGCATGGCCATGGGCCAGAAGACATAGTGTGGATAATGTAGGGTAGGCAGGCTTCCCGTTAGGTGAAGAGACGATCTGGTGAAAATCGCGAAATGCTGCGTACCTAATGCGGGTATCGCAGCACCGATCGTTGTGGAAAGCTCTGGGGGAAGCCTTTGTGAAGCAGTGGGCATCATATGGCTGAAACGAACGAATGCACGACACAGCTCGAATATGGCCTATTATTCACAAACTGTTGTCAGTGACTGCAAAGACTTGCTCACTATCCTCAATAATATTATATCAATAGGTCTACGCACAAAACAACTATTTCCATCCCTTTTATGCTAAGTGAGATGCCAGCGATGAACCGTTAACTGCTGCGGGCGCGATTAGTACTGGAATACTTTTAAAAACTGAATGGTACATAACAGTTACATTACATTTCTTCCCAGCCAAATCTCGCAGCATAGCTATCCCCCTGGATTTAGAAGCCAAGATCCAGGCGGTATTCGAGAAGGCGGCGGCGCTCTCTCGGCAGACCAGCAGGTGGTTGCTGGCTTCCAAAAACTCCAAGCTGGAGAAGATGGCTTCACAGGTACGGGACTTATCTCCTAAATAAATAAGACACTGTTTATATATTTATTTATTTGATTGCTAGGAAAACAAACAGCATTCACACATAGAGTTTTAGCGACTCTACTTACATTTAAATGTTTGCTATCTAATCTCTATATTTCACCTGCCCCCGAAACATAGTTAAAAATGTTGTAGTTTTAATTTCCACTTCGCTTCGCCCTGGTGTTTTTATGTCTAGTTACTTTGCTCCATGAAGCGGATTATAAATCCAAATTGTCACGAGTATGTCTGTTGACACACAGTGTTTATTAGATGGCGCATAAGTGGTCAAGGGGTAATATAAAACCCCAAAATTAAAAAAAAAACTTTTTTAAATTACCAAGCCTTCTTGTTGCAATGTCGGTTTCAAAGTTCAAACACAGCAGTCAAAGTGTTAACCATTGAATCCGCAATTTGTTGCAGTCAAACCTACAAAACGATAGATCCGTAATGGAGGGGCTGCAAGAGATAGTGGCGCTCCTGGAGGAGCAGCTCAGGCCACTGTTGCAGGCCGAGCTGTCGCTGCTCGTGGACATCCTCTACAAGCCTCACCTGCTCTTCACGAGCCCCGGCGACGTGGCGCAGCCCGACGCCTCCGGCATCTTCATCTCCAGGTACCCGGCATCTTCATCTCTAGGGACCCGGCATCTTCATCTCCAGGTACCCGGCATCTTCATCTCCAGGTACCCGGCATCTTCATCTCCAGGTACCCGGCATCTTCATCTCCAGGTACCCGGCATCTTCATCTCCAGGTACCCGGCATCTTCATCTCCAGGTACCCGGCATCTTCATCTCCAGGGACCCGGCATCTTCATCTACAGGGACCCGGCATCTTCATCTCCAGGGACCCGGCATCTTCATCTCCAGGTACCCGGCATCTTCATCTCCAGGGACCCGGCATCTTCATCTCCAGGGACCTGAAATGATGATGATGATCGTGCCAAAGCCAGCGGCATCTTCATATCTAGTTGCACTGGCACCTGGCTGATAAAAATTACCGCTGACCCCGCCGTTGGCCCAGTTGGCCGGTGACTTCATGCTGGATGAATGAGAGATTGCACTCCTTAATCGGGAAGATTACCTTCTACCAGAGTACTAATGGCAGTCAAACTGAAGCTGATGTTAAATAGACGTCTAGTATAAGGTGAGCTACGCGGGTTATTGTAGTGACTATAATAGTGACTGGATGAAGATTGAGACTTTAATTTTTGTATCTCACTGGCAATTTAATTAAAAGTATTAATACAACAAAGACCGGTCCTGCGCCGCTCGCATCCAGGCACCTCCCGCGACCTTCACCAGATCGTCGGTCCACCTAGTGGGAGGCCTGCCCACGCTACGTCTTCCGGCTCGTGGTCGCCACTCAAGAACTTTCCTGCCCCAGCGGCCATCAGCTATGTGCCCCGCCCACTGCCACTTGATTTTAGCGATTATGCGGGCTATGTCAGTCACTCTGGTTCTCCTACGGATCTCCTCATTTCTGATTCGATCACGCAGGGAAACTCCGAGCATAGCACGCTCCATCGCTCTTTGGGTGACATTGAGCCTTCTTATGAGGCCCATAGTAAGCGACCACTGGATACGAGCGCAGGACCGGTCTTTGTGGAAATCCTTGGGGGAGGCCTTTGTCCAGCAGTGGACGTCTTTCAGCTGAAACGAATGATTAATACAAATTATTACAATAATATTATTATCAATATATAATTAAGAATACCTCCACAGATTCAAGATTACTGACAATGACACATGTCCCTGTGATAATATAACCACCCAATCAATGTTGCATCTCGTTCAGGACTGCCCAAGATTTCAATCAACAAGACTTAGCCATAATATAGTTTGCCAAATTTACAACATCGACCTATTCAATTTCCAACAAATTATAACCAAGCAAGATTCCATAACAACATTTACCACCCACATTGAAAACATAGTTAGCAACCTAAAATCTTTCAACAATTAAAATCCTAAATCACGTAGGAGAGAGCAACGCGTAAACCGATAGCGCCGCGCTCTCTCTGAAAGAAATTAAATTATCAAATTAAAGAAAAAAAAAATATTATTATCAGCAAAATCTTCATGAATATTTCTTGTTTCAGATTGATTCGTCATACGGAGAAGCTACTTGAAGAGAAAGAAGAGAAGTTATGTGTTAAGGTGTTGCGAACACTTCGCGAAATGATGGCCGTCGACCCCGAATATGGGGAGAAGGTAAGCGTTTTAACATCTATTCAAATTATTATTGATCTGTGAAACTATAATAACATTACAAATTCGAGTTCTATGTCTGCCACCTTAGATTAATAACACCTATAGTCTGGTCCGTGAGCACGTAGAATTTTGTCCCCAAGCTACTTACTCATCCTTATTGCTCGCGCGTAATTATGTTGCTGTTGCGCTCGCACACTCACTGCGGGCGCCCGTCGCACAGTCGCGACAGCAATATAATTACGCGCGAGCGATAAGGATGGGTAGCTAGGGGTCATTAGACAAAATTCTACGTGCTCACGGACCGGGCTTTAGATAAGTAAGACTTCATACAATCGGCTCGTCTAAAGTGAGGCCAAAATCTTATGTCATCTAATGTCATCTTATAGGTATAAGTTTCCACTTGTGTTTGAGTTTGACTAGTTCGGTCAAATTTGAAGTGCCTCACTTTCTTACTCGGCATTAATTTATTTATATAAGTATAGCACACAGCACAATATCAATTTAGGTTGTAGATCGTTTCATCCACGAAGACGTGCCCCACCATTCTTCCGCTTATGTTTGTGTTATTGGTACACGCTAAATCATCCATGAGTGCACACGCACACTACAATAATGACGCTCGGATTGCTCGGATCAAACTCCCTGCACCCCGTCTTTCCCTCGAGCCACACCAAAAATTGGTCGGGCGCGTTTTCGTGGATGAAACGAACTATACAATATTATGTTTTATAGTAAGATTTTGTAAGTTCGAAATACGTACGTTAGCTGTCACTAAACGACTACTCTATCTATCTATCAACAGGGCAATCAACTTCGTAACAAGCTTCTCTCCCAATACTTCGTGAACCGCAAATCTGAGCCCAAAATCCAGCCTCCCCAACCATCTCTGACCGTGACCCACGGACCGGGTGGTAAGTGTCATTGTGACCTCACATACACAACACACTCATATTACACACATCTAAAACAACATCTATATACATAGGGAATGTTAAGTTAACACACACACATTAATGATACAATATGGTACAAAATTAATTTGAATTATAATCAACGTATTAAGCCATGTATGACAAACAAACTGAGCTTCATTTGCTCTAAACTGACTAATCATTATAATATTGGTGGTCACATAATAAATAAACTAATAACTCCGATTTTAACGTCTATTGTGTTGATGGTTTATTGATAAATATAAGGAAGTAAAAGGATCTTTTGACTTCGATTGTCGAACAATAATTTACCGTTTTTTTAATTGAAATAATAAAATACAATGTACACACGGCCACAGTGTTAACTATCCATTTCCGTTTTTGCTCGCGCTCTCATCAAATGGTGATTCTTTGCGATAGAACGAGACGACATGACCGGCAATGGGCAGTTAACATTGTTGCCGATAGTACAGTCATCGTCAAATAATTTCTGACACCCAAAGTGGCTAAAAAGTTGACAACACAACCTCATCCCAATCGTAACAAAGACGTGTTGCGAACTTTTTGACTACTTTGGGCGTCCCGAACTATTTGACGCTGACTGTAACATTATAAAATACACACACAATGGGTTAAAGCCTCTCGCACACAGCCAGTGTGTGTATGAACGTTTCCATACAAATTGACAGACATTGATGACGCGATGACAGTCCAATTGTATGAATACACGTTGCGCTTACGCATCTGCTGTGTGCCAGAGACAAACTAATGGTGACTAATGTTAAGCATGGTGTATTTGTCGAATTTCAACATGGTACTAAATAGAAGCACATTATACATTATACTTACCTAGTACTAGACGTGATAGTGCACTAGGTCAAGAACTAAATAGATTTGGTATTAAATTACATAAAAAACTCCAATATTATGTAGCTCACACAACTGTTAAACTAGACCCAATGTAGAAAAAAAAAACAACTAAAAAGAAGGCCTTAAAGTTAAGTTATACTATTTTCAATTTCGTGCCTAATTTTCAAAACTTGAAACTTTTTAAATTATTGGGTGATTACAAAATTATCATCACAGAAATGAAATAAATAGTTTTGTGACCTATTTAGTTCAATCAACTTGTTACTACTATAAAAACTAGTTAACAAATAGTTCTAGGGTAGGCACAGGATACATATTTTGCGAAGGGTGCCTTTGTAATAAATAACAAATCTAATAAAATAACCCCCTAAATTAATAATTCATTCCATGATACTATGCTATCAATCAACTAAAAGTACAATATACAAGAAAGACCAATCCATTTAATGTCACGATTTTTTTAACCACATCTCCATTGACTCGCGGAATTTAAAAGTCTATTTATACCCAATAACATACATTTAAATGAACTCTATCCCTCTCTTTCACTAATATTAACATCACAAGTTAAGTAAAAGAAACGGATAGAGCTAAAGCCTGGTCCGTGAGCACGTAGAATCCCGTCCAATGATAAGGATGGGTAGCTTGGGGTCATTGGACGGGATTCTACGTGCTCACGGACCAGGCTTTACCTTAATATCTAAAAATGCAAAGGCACCCTTCAAAGCACATTCTAGACTAGACTTTAGACCGATGTTTTCTTTATTTCACTACGCATGCGACGCAGACCCTCATCCGCACCAGCCGAAGACAGGTGGGTCCATCTACAGACCACCACTGGATGTTGTTTGGTTGCACTTGTTTTAACCTGTGTCGTATAACGTAGATTATTCAACTAAAGTCCGGTCGCCGAGCACATAGAATATCGTTCAATGACCCCAAGCTACCCATCCTTTTCGCTCGCGCGTAATTATATTGCTGTCGTGCTAGCAGACTCACTGCGGCCGCCCGTCGCACAGTCGCGACAGCAACATAATTACGCGCGATCGATAAGGATAAGTAGCTTGGGGTCATTGGACGAAATTCTATCTGCTCGGCGACCGCACTTTATACAGATTGTCCCTGTAAGTATAGATCAAAACAAAAAAGATTGAAAGAAAAATATTTATTTGGTACTAAATGATACACATTCTACTATTTTAATGCAACAACTTTCCTAAATGAACAATGTCAAAATTCTCACAAAAAATATTGACGTTTGACCTACCCATTAATTGAATGATTACTGAAGACAATTTGTATGAAAATATAATTTTTTTAAGGTTTTGAACTTTCTTCTCTTGGGGAAAGTTATTGAATTTGAGCTTTTTGTTTGATCCACACTTACAGGGACATCTTAGCAACAACACGGTGTTTATGTTACCATATAAAAAAATACATGTGTGTTGCCAGGTAAATATTTCACTTTAAGAAACACGTTCAACGAATTTGTTTAATATAATCAGTATAAGTAACGTGTTTCTTTTTAAATAACGTAGTTAAAGTAGCTTAGAAACTTGTGTTAATTTTCAAGATGTACCGTTCACTCTCTATTTCTGTTTTACCCGCGCAACACTTATTCCCTTCTGCTACTTTCCCACATAAATATTTCTTTCCAAGTTTAAGTAATAATCATTTTCCGACTATATTATTGAAATTGAACTATTTTCTCTCATTTCAATTGAATGTCCCTTCAATAACTATTATTATTACGATATAAACCTGCTTTATTGGTGTTTGAAATAGCTATTATAACCTTAGCATGAACCCGCACTGCACCTGAACATAATGCAAATTGAAAACCACCTTAATTTGGCTGTTTATACATATGTACTCTTTATCCTCTATTCAAATTCCTAAGATTTTTATTATTTATTGATGCGATCAGTGTGTTTTTTCTTTTGAGACGATAGCGTAAAATTCAAATCTTTCATGTTTGTTTCGGATCGAAAAATCATTGATATAGATGACCCACGCTGAACTGTCCCACCAAACTCAATGACAGGGGGGCGCTACCATCGTTCAACTATATGGTTTCCAAACATGGCAAAAATCGAAACCAGCGATCCGGTATTGACGGTGGCGCCCCACTGTCAATGTCATGCATAGGACAGTTCAGTATTTTGGAACTATAACAAACTAATGAAATAAAATTAAAAAAAATCGATATGAAGGGTGGGTAGTACCTAGAACTTTCTGTGTGAGTGTGTTTTTTAGAAACTTTACCTAGCTTAAAGTTTGAATACGTAATATTTAATTTTTGAGATTTATTTCACTGAAAAAAACAATGACTACCGATGAAGAGTGTTTGTGTGACTGTTTTTTTCGACAAGTTTCAATTTGCAATGTTTGAGGTGTGACCCCCAAAACCCCCCACTTTATACTATAGAAACACTTGTGTGTCACAGCCAAGGTACTCATGCGAACTGGCCAGACCCTGGCGCAGGTGCAAGCGCACCTTGACAAGGAGGGAGCCTCCGATCTGGTCGTGGACCTGGTCATCAAGAGCACCAACCGCCCCGCCATCTTCCTTGAAGCCATCCAGCTTGGTAAGTGGCCATATACAAGACACTCGTACATGTACGAGGGGTGTTCACTGTTCAATAAGTAATGAGAATGGGATATTTCTAGCCGTCTGGAAAAAATGGGTAAGTAGCTTAATTCTTCACTAGAAACTGGTAATAAATTCATTTAAATTCATCGTTGCGTTAAAGCATTTCATTCATCTGAACGCGACCAGTCGGATAGACCTTGTTTTCTGTGACCAACGCATCCGTTCACAGCCCTGATGTTGCGGTGGCAGCCAAAAAAAATTGCGTTTCACAATTCTCAAAAACCTATAATATTCTCTAGATCTGATTCTCAGCTACGTTAACAGCCTACTTTTTCCGATTTAAAAAGTAGTTCAAGGACCTGATATTTGAGGAATTGTCGAGCCAGTGTCCTTTTTAGGCCTTTTTGGAGAGTCAAGAAAATCATCCGACTTGACCTGGTCAAGTGAATGTAATTTTGTGAAGAATTAAGTTACCTGCCCTGCTAATGTAAGTGAAAAGATGTTATAAGTAAGTACATTCCCTAATCCCTAACATTGTCTTTTGCAGGTATCGCTCTTTTGGAAGGTGGAAATCCCATCATTCAGCACAGTATATTTACCAAACTTCAAAATGGCGAGATTTCGCAAGCGTTTTTAAAGGTAATAAGTCCGTCATTTTTGGTGTTGAAAATAGCACTTAATTTCCTGTCTATCTAGGGTTAAAGTTTAGTAAACGTTGCTCTAATTTATTTGGTGTAACCACTGACCTCTATACATATTAAACTGGCTGCTGTCATAATATTTTTGTGCCTATTTGATTTTCGCCATTTTGGCGCTGTAGACCATACTGTAGACAGATACGAGTGTCCATGGAATTAAAATTAATTATGTTCTTTCTCGCTTAGGCCGGTTTTAGTGTCACGCGGACTGTCGGGAGCGGAGCGGTTCCTCCGGACCGCATTACTCTAAAACGCTCCCTAGAAGTTCATACAGATTGGCCGTGCGAAGCGGGTCCGCACCGGACGGTCCGCGTGACACTAAAACCAGCCTTACTCCTATGGTTACTCCATATAATGTACGTCAAAATTAATTCTCTGGACACTCGTAGTGGCGCTTCAAATTGGCACACAAAATTAGCTGTGATTTGTATGACAGCCTGTCGAGTGTTTATTAGGGCCAGTTGGTGTAACGTATCGTATATTATTATAGTAATGTCCTTTATTCCAGGTGTTCTACGACAAAATGCGAGAAGCTCAGCAAGAGATTCGCTCTCTGGCGGCGAGCACCACCGCCGCCGCCGGCTCCGACAAACAGCGCACCTCGCACGCCGACAAGCATAAACAGCCATCTGTCGACGGTCAGTATACAGGGCACGAGGCCCAGCAGGTGTCACCGATCGTGATGTGCCGTTCCCGAGAACGTTCTCCCATCTGAGAATATTGGTCTACACTCCCCACGCTGGCCAGAGGGGTTGGGGAGGCCTAATGTGTACACATTTCTCCCTTAGTTGCCTCTTACGATATCTAAAAGAAGAATGGGGGGGCCCTATCCTACTCTGCAGGAATCGCTCAGCTAACAGCAGTCCACTGCTGGACATAAGCACGTAACAACTACCAAGACTGCGAAATATTATGAGCACCTTTTTATCACTTTATTCCCATATTAAGGGCTTACCATCCCACGGTCGTGGATGGCACTAAGTTGGGATCCGAGCCTTTGAATATTTTCTTCTCTCTATTCGGATCCGAGCATTTGAAGTGTTTCTACTCTCTATTTCCTCACACAGATAGAAAATCACTCTTTCACTTTATACACTGTAGGTATACCCAGTGTTACTTTGATGCAAATAAAGGTTTATTCCACTTTGTTCACCTGGGTGAAGAAAGTGGATTTTTTTGTGTCCTCATTTCACCTCGGAACCCCAGGCGAATTAATTCGCCTAAGGCGGTCGCCTTTGTTTACCTAGGAATTAATTTACCTTGGTGAACAGATGCGAAGACCTGGGTGAATTAAATCCTTAGAATGAAGTTGGGTGAAGTGAGGACACTAAAAATTCCACACTTTCTTCATCCAGGCGATATCAACCAGGCAAACAAAGTGGAATAATCCCAAATAAAATATTGAAAGGTGGTAATGTACCCTTCTCCCAGGTCGTACAACACCAGCCAACCTAGTGGTGGGCGAAGATATGGACGAAGAGGTCGCCAACGCTTGCGGATCCGCCGTGCACGCGTACTCAGACATACACACTATGTCTCACGGTGAGTTTACTTTTACTATTCATTTGGTTACCTACTATTTTCATCAAGAAAAATATACATAGATTTTGAAAAGCTTAGGGAAGAAAACGTAACAATCATAATTACGTCAAATTACATTTTTTTATTGTAAATCGCATCTGTTATGACTCCATAACACGCCTAGTCTTTTACCTTCTAGGCAGTCGTTTGTAAACTAGAAAACCTGGTAACTTGTAAACGAAACATTTCTTGACTATCACACTGATTTAGGGTAAACTGTATAACATTTGTTCAGTCAATTATTTCGTTGTTAAAAAACCTACTTCTGTAAAATTGACCTCGACCTTTTATAGAAATAGGATCTATCTTAATTGACATTGCTGTGTATTCTTATAAACCTTAACATATTCCTTTGATGGCATTCCCACTGTAGGTACAACAGTTTTAGAAGAGATAATGGCAGAAAAGAAGCGCGAAGCAGGAAGCGGCGACGTGTTGCCGGCGAAAGTGTCGGTGATGCGGCCCATCCTACGGTTTCTGCAACTGCTTTGCGAGAACCATAACCCTGACTTGCAGGTACGTTACACTTTTAGATCTGTTTCTTATTTGTAAAGTAAGTAAATAAAAATTTGTAGATAGATAAAAAAAATACTTTATTGACACACTAGCTTTCCGCCCGCGGCCTCGCGCGCATCGACTACATTATCTACATATTTTACGGAACCCTATTTTTTTCCAAAATAATATTTAGCCTATGTTACTCGTAGATAAAAATGAAGCTGTCGAATGGTGAAAGAATTTTTAAAAACGGTTCAGTAGTTTTTGAGCCTATTCATTACAACCCAACAAACAAACAAACAAAGTTTTCCTCTTTATAATATTAGTGTGTAGGTAGACAACAAACAAAAAGTTAAGCGAACGTAAATAATGTAACTTAATTCAATCGGAAATTTATTCAAAGCATAGCACAGCATAGCATTGAGCATTTTCACATAAAATATTTTCAATTCACACAAGATGGCGATATTATTGTGGCGAAAAATTGTATCTATTTAGCCAAATGTACGCCTTAAAGTATGATTTCGTAGCTCACTCCACTCAACAATGGCAGACGACGTATCGTCGCGACACTGCTGGTGTCTATAATCTGACAACACGTGTCGTAAATTACCAATGGTATTTCCTAAAAATACATAGAAAAAAGTTATGACACGGCTACTGGAGTAAGCTACGAACTTCTATCTCAAGATACGTGCTACGTACGCCTTATTTAACCTTCATAACAGCTTTTAAAACACCCAATAACTTCCAGAACCTTCTTCGCAACCAAAACAACAAGTCCAACTACAACCTCGTCTCGGAAACTTTAATGTTCCTCGACTGCATATGCGGCTCCACCACCGGCGGGCTCGGGCTTCTCGGGCTTTACATCAACGAGGGCAACGTGCAGCTCATCAACCAGACCCTCGAGACGCTCACCGAGTACTGCCAAGGTGAGCCTTGTTCCCTTACGATAGGGTTGTTCCTCGCTGCATATGCGGCTCCACCACCGGCGGGCTCTGGCTGCTCGGGCTGTACATCAACGAGGGCAACGTGCAGCTCATCAACCAGACCCTCGAGACGCTCACCGAGTACTGCCAAGGTGAGCCTTGTTCCCTTACAATTAAGGCTGGATTTCCTTTTACGTGTAATCAACGTCAGATAGTTCGTCACACCGTGACACCCAAAGTATCCTAAAAGTTCGCAACACATCGCACCCTTAATAATATAGGGGCACAACTCAAAATTTTTGGTTTTTTACTTTTTGTACTAGAGAGGCATATTTTCGTCAGTTCTACAAGATGGCTTTCACAGAAATCGAAAACAATGATCAGATTAAAGAGTTCTACATTTTGTGCCCCTTCCATACATTCATCTATCTTCCCGCTAGAAGGGCTGAATCAGAGACATGCCGATATTTGTCGAATCCGGTTCCCGCGACTGTGGTCCAATTTGGAGTTGTGCCTTTGTGTGACAAACTTTTAAGTAAGTGTTAGTGAGCTAAGTCTAATTAATTCCATATATTTCTAATAATATGTTAAGATATCTGCTCTTCATAGTTTTGTAAAACTTAAACATTTTTGCCTTATATTTTTCAATAATTATGAGGAAATAGTTGCCATAATTTACAATTACATGATAATATTAGGTACTTTTTGATGATGAAAGAATATAAGGCGAGTCTTCAATTCTGATGTTTCACAAATTTTTAAAGATGCTGAATTATAAAACTAAATGGCGATACAGTTATTTAATTGATACCATAAATAATTATTTTAGAAGTTTACTGCTTGAATCTGAGTTACAAATTATAAAAGGGCAGAAGAGGACCTCTAGGCAAGTTGTTTTGAGGATTGTTTACTATTTCTGGGTTTACAATGATTAATTTAGAGTCATTTGCTTAAATAGAATAGCAAAATGTAAAAGAACATTAGTATTTCATAATAAAATGGAGTTTACATTTTTGTGATCATTTACTTACTATTTTTGTCGATAAAAAGTATTTGTTTGACTTAATATTATCATCTTTATTTGACATTATTGATTGACAAACATTTGTGTGCATGAACATTATAATAATGTTTGTTTCGGGCTGGGTGTTTTCTAACCATAATATGAATGTATTTATTTATGTTATGTTATTTAAGTATGTTCATATACCATAGTACAAGCTTTGCTTAGTTTGAGACTAGAGGCGCAGTGTTAAAATATTATGTCGAAGGATATTTAATTTTATTATTTATTTATTCACTGTTTGAAGGTTACGGTTTAATCCAACTTACGGCTTGTTTTTATACTATGGCGTCATCGCGTCGCGCGAGTGTCAGCGCGAGTGTCAGTGCGAGGTGTGCGGGGGCTGAGGTAAATGAATGCACGGCATCGAGGCGGTAAATCCTAGCCTTAACTACAACTTTTTCTCATAAATAGAGACAATTTTCAGGATATTTTACAAATATTTAAATAACCTTTTTCTACTTCTGCCTCGCCTTATCGCGTTGCGCGGGGTCGGCTTTCCCAGTCATGCGCCGCCATTTGATACTATCTTGAACATCTTAATCAGCCCCAATACTTTCATGGCGTTTCATGGCGTTTTGCAAATATTTCAAGAATAATCCTGTATAACAGAACTTCCAGTATGTAGAGTCCTTTACACAAGTGGGATAAAACATGCAAGAGTCTGGCGTCTTGTCTCTCAGAAATTTTGATTCGTTCGTAGGTGGGATGCCACAATGCAGTCGGATTTAGTAGGCTTCCTAAAACTCAATATAGTGAATATTCCAAGTTTCGAGGTACTTTGATCATTGATGGTTTTTAGCAACGTGTTTATAGTAATAGTATGATAATATAGTACGAAAGGAAAAAAACGGGAAGACTAGGAGCGAGATCAAACGCGAAGCTCAAAACCGAACGCGATGGAGGACTGTTGTGGACGGTCTGCCCCATCTAGGGGACATAGAACTTTAAGTCAAGTAAGTCAAGTTTATAGTATGTTGAAATATCAAAATAGTCTAGTCAAATAAGCCCAAAAAAGGTCAACCTCATTTAATGATGATGATGGACATGATGCATTGTTGCATTCTGTGACTTTTGTACTTTTGGCCCTGGGTATTATACAATGAAATGTATAACGATAGGTACTTCTGTACGTTAATCCGTTGTGGACAGCCGACAAAATACAATACTTAAATATTGGATACCTTGGACTTAGCCGGGGTAAATGAGCTAGCCAACAGTGTGAAGAAAAACCTGACACAGGTATAGGTACGAGTATATGATGACGTATGGCTCCTGTCAATATAGGCCTTAAAAGCTCAAAGTCGCACATTGTGCTATTTCTCGTATAAAGGGTTATGCTCGGTGTTTCCTTACGAGATCGAATCAGAAGTGAGGAGATCCGTAAACGAACTAAAGTCGCTGACATAGCTCGATAGATTAGCAAGCTGAAGTGGCTATAGGCACGTAGTAAGTAGAACTGGCGGGAGATGGGGCAGAAAGGTTCTAGAGTGGAGGCCATGTAAAAACGCAGCGTCTATCCAACCAACAAGGTGGACCGACGACCTCATAAAGGTAGCATGAAGGCGCTGGATGCAGGCCGCTATACCGGGCAATACGGAAATGATGCCTATGATCAGCAGTGGACGTATTGTGGCTGAAATGATGACAGGTATAACTATGCAATACTCCTCTCAGTGGGAAGGTTTGACAGCACAGCGTCCAGAATGGCGGGAGATTGTGAAGAGGCGAGTCCACGAGTTCGAGAAGCAGCGTACGACTGAACACGACGCGAAGCGCGATGACTTGAAGGCCCATTCACTATAACTATGTTGGCGGCGTGCTCAGATGCCCTCAATGTGCGAGAGGGTTTGTCGCGAAGATCGGCTACGTAAGCCATCTTCGGGCACACCAGCGCCGCCAAGACAGCTAGGAGTCGGAGTGGTCGCCATGCCCGAAATCGGTCGGATGGATCATCATCATCATCACTTATTATTATAGTTTGGTATAACTATAGGTCTAGCCCTTACTCAATCTGTGCTTAGAGATATGGGATACAGAGATATGGGAGCGGAGCGGTTTTTAAACGTTAAACGTCAGCGAGACATCACATATCCTTCAGATTTTTATGCTCTGTCACGTCATATTATGTCAATGTCACCTCTCACGTTCCGGTCCCATACCTCAATCACTGATTGAGTTAAGCTAGACCTTAGTATAAAACGTACAGAACGATACCCGTGTACGTGTACCTACATTATACGAGTACGTACGTTACTAGCAGATAATGTCAGCACAAAATGATGTAGTGCGGTGGCTGGAGTCGTTATAATTTTATAGTGCTGCTGACAAATTGCACCGCGACACCTGTCGCTGGATACATTGTTTGCACATCACGGCGGCAAAGAGTATGAATTACAACAGAAGGTACAGTGCATCAAAATAGGACAGTAATTTGACCATAAAGGACGAAGCACATTTATCAACCCGGAAATGGATGGTCGTATTAACTCAAGGCGGTCAGTATTATTTGTATGAAACTCCATACTGCAACGCACACTTATCCGCACCGTAACGTAAATGCCTTGCCTCGCGGCGAAAGGCAATACGGTGTTGATCCCTTTTCTGTTGATAATAAGGGACCTTTATAGAAAGAAAGAAGAAAGAAAGATACATTTATTACAATGGACATCACACAAATACAGGCAATTACACCATTACATCATCACCTGGCATTAAGTCCGCCACTGTACAGTTGTATGTGCAAAAGTGTAAATAAATAAATAAATAAATAAATTACATAGACATGACAGTGGCACATAATAACAAGAGTAAACTGAGCAGTGCCACCCAACCACCAACAAGATGCCCACTGCAACGGGACCCCACTCAGCATATGCCGTGGCCCACGGTGACGAAGGCCACGGCGCTGGTTTTCAGTGTGCCCCATGCCGTCTATCATCTGCCGTTTATCATCAATCATCATCATTTCAGCCTTATGACGTCCACTGCTGAACACAGGCCTCCCCCAATGACTTCCACATCGCACGGTTGGTAGCGGCCTGCATCCAGCGCCTTCCTGCTACCTTTATCAGGTCGTCGGTCCTTGTGACCTTTATTGTTAAGCGTTTTTAGCAGACTGAAACAGTAGAGTAGAGATTAAAATTGTGGTTTTGATGCTCATAAAATATTTGGATTTAATTCTTCGCCTCTACACCATATCGATTCTTTGATAATAGAGCGGTCTTCGTTCGAGGGTACTTCTACATTTTACGGCGCGCCGTTAAGGAACGCCATAAGGGTAAAACTTGGCAGAAATTGGGTTCTACGTTTTATTGTAACATCACAAACGAAATTATTTATGACTTTTATCTTTTACATATTATACAGGGTGACAGGTAAAGCGATACATTCCTTGAAAGGGGTTAAAGTAGAGCTTATTTGCAGTCATTTAAGCGCATTCAGAAGGCAGCTCAAGATATTCNAGGGTGCGACATCTTTGTTACAATTGGAATAAGGTTGTGTTGTCAACTTTTTGACCACTTTGGGTGTCACGAACTGTTTGACGCTGATTTTACGTCGGCTGATTTTGTCGGGACTTGTTGTGGCCCGTAAGACTTCACCGAGTACTGTCAAGGTGAGAGTTATTACCTCATCAAATAAGGCTTGATTTCCTTCTATGCTGACGTCGGTCGTATAATATTAAGGGTGCGTGATGTCAGTAGCGCAGTTTGGCGCAGTAACACCTCGCAAAACTGCTAAAATGAGCATTGTTCCCTTCACAGCTATACTTATTTTCGTCCTATGCTGACGTCTGAAAGTGCCACTTATTACCATCATATTAGGCTTATTTACATAACTGACACATTTTTTTTTGTCCCAGGGCCCTGCCACGACAACCAGAACTGCATAGCAACGCACGAAAGCAACGGCCTCGACATAATAACAGCGCTGATACTGAACGACATAAACCCTCTGGGCAAGACTCGCATGGACCTCGTCCTCGAGCTCAAGAACAACGCCTCCAAACTCCTGCTGGCCATCATGGAGTCGCGCAACGACTCCGAGAACAACGCCGAGCGAATCCTGTACAACATGAACCCCAAGCAGCTGGTGAGACCACAGAATAATAATAAGTACTACCACAAAATAATAATAAGTACTAAAGCCTGGTCCGTGAGCACGTAGAATCCCGTCCAATGACCCCAAGCTACCCATCCTTATCGCTCGCGCGTAATTATATTGCTGTCGCGACTATGCGACGCGCGCCCGCAGTTAGTGTGCGAGCGCGACAGCAACATAATTACGTGCGAGCGACAAGGATGGGCAGCTTGAGGTCATTGGACGGGATTCTACGTGCTCACGGACCAGGCTTTACGTACAGAAGGTTTTCTTCGCGAAGGTATTTACAAAAATGTATGCTCAATGTCGTTAACAATATGGTGTAATTTAGCTTATCTCAAGAGTCGAGCACCATTTTGTTGACACGTCAGTGATCGGTGCTGCGCCGAAGCCATAGGACTGACTTCGGTAAAATGATGTGTGATGTGAGCTGCCAAACTGCTGAAAATGGCGGAGAAAATACATGAATAAGCATGAATGTGGGGGGAGGCCTTTGTCCAGCAGTGGACGTCATTTGGCTGAAAACGGGAGCATGAATTATAAGCCTTTCCCCCCACTAGGTGAACCGACGTTCTGGTGAAGGTCGCGGGAAAAACCTGGATGCGGGCAGCGCCGGACCGGTTGTTATGGAAATCCTTGGGGAGGCCTTTGTCCAGCAGTGGACGTCGGCTACCTAAATAAACTCCGACAAACGTTACTTCGACATTACGTTACCCCGACACTACTGAATATCGACATGACTTTACTTCGACACTACGCTACTCAGACAAAAGCGTATAATATCCTTTGTCTGTGTTTGACGGAGTAGAAATTTCCAGCCGTGGACGTCAATTGGCTGAAACATACGAACGAAGTATAGCATTATGTTTCGCCCGCAGGTAGATGTTGCGTGCTCAGCCTTCCATCAGGAGCACGCTATGGACGCCGACTCTGACTCCGAAGATGATACGCCCGTGCAAGGCGTTTCACCGAAGGAAGTTAGTACTCGTTTAGCTTCTTCTAGCTCTACAAGTCTTAGTTTCGTCATCATGAGGTTATTTAGTAGACACTGCGACGAACGACCCTCACAAGCAGGATTTGGTCTACACTCCCACGCTGGCCAGGCTAGCCGGGTCGAGAAAGCCTGATGGTCGCCCATTTATCCCTTAGTTGCCTGTTACGCTTACATCCACGGGAGTGAGGGTTGTCCTATTCTACTTTACAGTTTACCTATTGCGCTTGAAACATTTTGTCAAACAGAACACATTCTTAGCGCGCGTGGAACGCACTGTGTACGGTCTTAACCGCACATTTCGCGCCATTGGCATTTTTTAATTGCATCATTTTTCATGCCGTCAAATCAGTGCACAATCAACCGCCACGGCGGCGTGTACTCGTATACTATCAATATCAATAAATCAAAGCAAATCATCAATTCAAAATCATATCAATTCTAAAGATGTTCAGTAAGCAGCTCGTTGCTCGCGCATGCCGTCAAAAGTACTACCATTAAAGGTTCCCCACCGTGAATTCAATCAGTGTGAAAATAACGCGACGTCAGCACTGCGTAGATTCGACAGAGATCTGTGCAGGCGCTCTCAAGACTACGACCCTCGAAAGTCGCTAATATGGGGGGTCCCTAACAGAACTATAGTCTGGTCCGTGAGCACGTAGAATTTTGTCCAATGACCCCTAGTTACCCATCCTTATCGCTCGCGCGTAGTTATGTTGCTATCGCGCTCGCACACTCACTGCGGGTGCCAGTCGCACAGTCGCGATAGCAATATAATTACTCGCGAGCGATAAGGATGCTCACGCCCTATCCGTCCCCCGGACACGGCCTGAGCCGAGGTCCGAGCCTACCGTGGCGCCCTCAGGCCGCGTCCGTAGTCCCCTCGATCGGGCCCACTAGAGTGAGCCCGCCGTAGGCTGGACTTTGGTCCAACACCGCGGTGGGCAACCCTCTAGTTGGGTTCGCCACTGATCGGGCGCCTTATGCGCTCGATACGGCCCGATCGCGAACGTCGGTCTGCGACCGACGCGGACGAGCCTGGGCCTCAACAACAAGCCCACACTCGGCCTCGTCGGCACGCGCACCGACGATCGCCAAACGGCTAGAGTGCCTTCTGTACTCGCCACTCTGCCCGGTGAAGCTGGAAAAGCTCCTCAAGCTACCAGCGCGCGTCCCAAAAAAAAAAAAAGGATGCTCACGAACCGGGCTTTAACTCAAAGTGTTGTGTCCCCAGGTGGGCCACAACATCTACATCCTGTGCCACCAGCTGGCCGGCCACAACAAGGAGCTGGCGGCGCTGGTGCGCGCCTCTCCCGCCGGCCACAACGCGCCCGCCCTGCAGTACTACCGTACTCACACGGCGCAGATAGAGGTAACTTTACACTGCCTGTTATGCAATGATATTATAGAACTNGTAACTGATAAGTGAAACAAAAGATACGAAATAGCACGCAAATGAAAGAGATAGCTATAGTTTTAACGATTCTGCACTAACTAATCTATGTCGGCAGCGCACGCATCCTTATCGCTCTAACCTCAAAACAAGATCGCTTTCTCTTTCTTAACTTGAACATGGCGCATGGCGTCTTGATTGTTTGCATAAATAATTGAAAATATAAATACTAAATAATTTTGCATAATCACATGTGGTAAGAGATCCCTTGTATTTTGTTTACTTTAGAGTCATAATTGGTACACTTTCGAAACACACACGATGGCATTTTTTATTTATTTTGGTAAGAACACAGGAACTTACGGTGTGGTACGCACGCGATTGCGCACGACGCAGGCCACACGAAGACTAAACACAAGACGTCCCAATTGGGACGTATTTGAGTATTCACAGCGCGAGCGCTTATAACATATCTGATTTTATTTTTATATAATATCATTGCTGTTATGTAACACAAGATACCGACTGAGATTGGACGCGGGAAGCATTTAGCGCAAGACCGGTCGTTATGTGCCTGAGGCACGGTAATAATATCATACAGTATTGTAACTTCATATAAACCGACGAAACGCGAGCTTTCCTTCGAATTTCAAATCTCGGGACGTGGTCGAGATGAAAAAATTAGGGGCGTCGCGAATGTGCCGAACGGACGTCGATAGCCTAATGTTGAAAATGACTAAGGTGATTGAATTTGACTGACCGTCATTTACAGTCACATTTGTCAAAAACTAGTCATTAACTGTCAAAAATGGTCATTTTCAGTCAGTTTGATTTGAAATGAAAATTTGTATATTGTATAAAACCAGCTTTTGCAACGATTTCACCCGCCTGAAATTAAAGTAACAGGTCATTAAATACTCATTATGATTAGTAGATTCAAAATTATTTCAGTATTTTTTTTTTTATTAAATCTACTAATCACAAAACAACACGCATTTTTATCCTATTCCATTCACAAAGTATTTTGTTTGTCTAAATACAAAATTACAATCACAAAAGTAGACAGATGTAATTAGAATGGGTACTGTAGGTGAGCAGCCCTATCGCATGTTGTCATACCGTGACGTACCGCGGGGCTGTTGACATTTATTTCAAAAATATGGCCGAGTTGGAATACTGTATAGATAGTATTACCGTGCCTGGTGAACTTTATGGTAGAACCTATGTTCGTCAGAAAAAATACAGGTAGGATCTAATGGTGAAAGATCCAGTAGTTTTAGAATGTATTCAATACAAACATAATCAAAACTTATCTCTTTATAATATTGACGTTGGAGCAAGTGGAGGTCGCGAGAAGTATTTAGCACAAGACCTATCGAATTTATACAACAAAAAACAAAAGAGATGCAACAAGTACGCACGCGCTCACTCAGTAGCAGTAAACTACACGAAACAGCTGGAGCAGTTGTGACTGCGAGCAATGAGGGCTATCGTTTAGCGCCACTGTAGAGTAAGGTCCTGTCACTTGCTAGTAGCGAAGACAGTGGCACCAACTGGTGAGCGCTAAAGTGGTAGGAGGACTATCGCATTTGCACTCATCAAGATGGCGCCACTGTAGAGTAAGGTCCTGTCAATCGCCAGGGGTGCCAACTGTTAAGTATAAAAACGATAGCCCTCATTGACTAAGACTGCAAGAGCGGTCCGTGTATGCTTATTACTGGCTAACTCCTTGAGCTGTCCGTGAATGGCGGGCTTGAAATAAGTTACACATGTAAACATACCTGGCTGAATCGTTTGTCCGAGGTAGACATACTTGTCAAAAATAGCGTTGAACTCTAATATCCGTATTCTCCCCACCAGATAGTGCGCACTGACCGGAGTATGGAACAGATAGTGTTCCCTATCCCGGAGATCTGCGAGTATCTGCCGGCCGACAGTAAGCACCGCGTGCTGCAGAGCGCCGAGCGCGACGACCAGGGCAGCAAGGTGGCCGACTTCTTCAACCGCCTCGACAACCTGTTCCACGAGATGAAGTGGCAGAAGAAGTTGCGCGGTGAGTGCACACGGGGCTCCGTCTAGCCACACGGGGCTCCCCCTAGCCACACGGGGCTCGCCCTAGCCACACGGGGATTCCCCTACCTGCCACACGGGGCTCCTCCTAGCTGCTACACGAGGCTCCCCCTAGCTGCCACACGTGGCTCCCCCTGGCCACACGGGGCTCGCCCTAGCCACACGGGGCTCTCCCTAGCCACGCGGGACTCCCCCTAGCCACACAGGGCAGGGCTCCCTGACACAGACACGGCAGCAACTTCAGCCGCCTCGACAACATGTTCCATCAGATGATAATCCATGGTTAGCGCAATTCATAGGTCTCCCCTTAGCTGCAACACAGCTGGTTGCCACACAAAGGACTCCCCCTAGGTGCCTCATACGGGGCTCTCTCGAACAGCTTGGTTACAAATCCTTATTTTGTGTTTTTGTTTCAGGGCAACCATTTCTGTTCTGGGTGTCGTCCTACATGTCACTCTGGAGCAATATATTGTTCAATTTCGCCGTTCTTATCAACGTAATCGTAGCTTTCTTTTACCCGTTTCAAGACGAAAATCCCAGTGAGTATAAAATTGTTTTGTTTATGTTACTCCAATATGAATTTATTTTTATAAGTTAATCTATGTGAATATCCTCTATCTCAAACTAGATCTATTCCTTTTGTCTCACAAATAGTGTGTACTGTAAACTTTTGGTAATAAAGCGATTTAGTCTTTAGTCATAGACGCTACTGATAGTGCTAGATAGCGCCATATTGTGTTGCTAGAATGTGGATATTTTCATGTCAAGTAGCGTTGGCACTAGAGGGATTAGTGTGAGTTTACATCAACGAGTGACTGCGTAAAAAATTACATTAAATGTATGACGAATTGTACAGCGACCCTAGCGGATACTTTCAAGAACTAAAATCTTCATAGATTTTTTTGACACACACTAGTGACGACGCGACGTTTGATCTAAATTCACACTAAGCCCTTAGAACGCCGTAACAGAGCGTTGAGCCACGGTAATACTATAATACAGTATTGTAACTTCATATAAATAAAGGGACGAAACGTGATCACCTGTACAATATTCAAGCATTTTGTACGCCTCAGTCGAGGCGCATACATTTTACGGTCGCAAAATAAGATTTGTTACTAAATCTTACACAAATATATTTTTTTAATTAAATCTACGAATCACAAAACAACATTCATTTTTATCCTATTTCATTCACAAAGTATTTTGTTTGTCAAAATAAAATAAAAAATTACAATCACAAAATAAATTCACAAAACTAGATAGAAATTCTAAGTCAGATCATCAGATGTAAGCCGCAAGTGGGCAGCCCTCTCGCATGTTGTCATACCGTGACGTACCGCGCGGCTGTTGACATTTATTTAAAAAATATGGCCGAGTTGGAATACTGTATTAGATAGTATTACCGTGGAGTACTGCTGGCGCCCGCGCTGTGATGTAGTAGCACTTACGTGAAGACGTGAGTGCCTCAACGTGACATCAACCGCTCTTTCAAGAGCAAAATGACTTAGAAGAAGAAGATGACTTACGCGACCTTTCCCCGCACAGAGCTGGGCCAGCACCTATCCCTAGTGGTGTGGTGCGTGGGCGTGGTGGGCGCCGCGCTAGTGACGTGGCTGCCGCGCTCGTCGGGCGTGCGCGCGCTGCTGGCCTCCGCCATAGTGCGGCTCATCTACTGCGCCGGGCCCGAGCCTACGCTGTGGGGCCTGGCCATGCTCACGGTGAGTGCACGCGGCGTGTATCTTCAAAAGTAACGGTGGCCATACACGTTAGGGTTTGCATGATGGTTACGACCGTACAGTCCTATCAACTTAAGCTGAGAATTGCATTTGTGTGAGTGATCGCCAAAAGTACAGTTAGTAAAACACATACAAATAAAATTAATGTTTTATTAAATGGAAGTCCATAAAACACAATGTGACCAACTGTCCAATTCTCGACCTCATAATGACTGAATCTTATAACTCTTCTACTCCGCTCATTGCATCTTCATCTTCACTCTCGTCTAATGACTTTGATGAGTCAGAGCCTGTGTTAATAATTATTCAATTTGCATAAATTTTCTTTCACTTGGCTGCTTAATGGTTTTCGTACAGGAAATTCACTTACAATAGGAACCATTTCACTAATATTTCGGACACAATCACATAAAATTACACGTCTATCTGCTACCAGTACCGGGGGTAAAGTGAAGTGTGTGAGCGGCAGGGAAGTGACGCGTGGCGGACGCGCCGCGCCTCAGGCCGCTTGCTATAAACTAGTATGAACCGGTTTAAACCATGATTGCCACTCTACACTATTGGTGTGCACTCACACAAATGCAATTCTCAGCTTAAGATGAGAGGACTGTACATGCTTAACCAATAGGTATAACCGAGTTATTTATAGCACATACATACACGTTAGGGTTTGCATATACAATCTAAATTTATTTAACTCAAAGGTGACTGACTGACTGACATAGTGATCTATCAACGCACAGCTCAAACCTAGCAGTAACATTAAGATTTCTAGCAACAGGGAGAACACATGAGTGTCTTAAATATTCACCACCATTCACTGCCACAGACCATAGGAGACTGAGAGAAAACTGTGCATGCAAGCATGAGCGGGCGCACACACGCTCGGTTATGCATGTGCGCAAACATAACCGAGCGGCAAAAATATATTTTTTGATATTCGTTAGGTTGCATGTACACGCACCAATAACTGTACAGTTTTATAACATACACGCTAGGGTTTGCATGTCGGTTAAGCATGTACGGTCAAAACCATCATGCAAACCCTAACGTGTATGGCCACTGTTGCGGCCGCAACGGCGGCCTCCTTGGCTGCGCGCACTGGCCAGCAAGAATATTTCTTTTTCTTCGTTTTTTCTTATGTCAATTTTTTTCATCTAAAATGTCACTCGATTCTCTCGAATTACACGAATTACATCAACGAGCCAATACAAATTTTATTGTTTCAATATGTAGAATAAAAACCTACAGCCACCATAACGTCCCACAGGCCTGCACTGGAAGCCATCATCGTCAGGTCATATCTCCACTGTATTCTTCAATTTACTCATAAGCAAAACGGAGGATTTGGCTTACTCTCCCCACGCGCTAGCACGAAGACTTTTCTAGACCTGACTGATCTTTAGTGTATCATTGTGACCTGTGGAAGTTATTTACTTACATATTACTTTCCTCTGAAACTAACGAAGCCTTCAGTGGTTGGATGAAGCAGAAGTAACTTGGTGCACTGTGTTGCCATCTTGGAACACAATGTCAGCTGCTGATCGGAAGCGACTATGTATCTCAAGTTTAGAAACTTAATCAATTTCCTCTTGAATTTTAAACTGTCTTTATGTCTGGTCTACTTTGAACAGATTTAACCTTCCACCACAGTTATTATAACTATAGTAATCTGATCTTTCGGTCCGCAGATAGTAGTAAAGGGGATCCATTTAGTGAGCATAATGGGCAACCAGGGCACCTTGAGAGAAACTGCATCACTTTCCTCTTGTATTGTCAACTATTTGGACTACTCTTGACATAGTTACTAAGCGTTTCGGTTACTCTTATAATGCGAACAGCTAGGGACTGGAATTCGCTGCCTGCTGCTGTCTTTCCTGAACACTATAATCCGGGTCTTTTCAAGGCGACAGTGAATAGGCATTTACAGGGCAGATATGTTACCCATCCTTATCGCTCGCGCGTAATTATATTGCTGTTGCGCTCGCACACTCACTGCGGGCGCCCGTCGCGACAGCAATATAATTACGCGCGAGCGATAAGGATGGGTAGCTTGGGGTCAATGGACAAAATTCTACGTGCTTACAGACCGGGCTTTATAGTAATTCGTTCTTTCGGTCCGCAGATAGTGGTAAAGGGGATCCACTTGGTGAGCATAATGGGCAACCAGGGCACGCTGTCGAAGTCGACGCGGCACGTGCTCACCGACCCGGAGCTTCTCTACCATAGCGTCTACTTGGTCTTCTGCTTCCTCGGAATCTGTTGTCATCCATTCTTCTTTTCCGTTTTGGTGAGTTTATTTTATGTAATTTCAGTAGGGATATACTTTAGACAGGGGTTGGAAATCCTTATTAGTAAGCTCGATAATTTTTCGAAGTTAATAAAAACTTATTGGAAAAAATTTTGAGGCAACCATGTAAAAAGCATATTAGGTTCCCATAGCAGAACTGTTGTGAATGTTATTTTGCAGAGTACAACTAAATGGTAGGATCAAGACACTCTCACGGCTGTCAAAATGTGTACAGTCGCGCCAGCTGTGTACTGAAGGCGTAGTAATTTTCATCTGTACCCATTTTCGACTGTATTCTAACTGTAAGACTACGTTTCCACCAGAGACTCCGCAAGGATTTCTTTATTTACCGAGGCGAAATAAATGAAGCGATTTAATTGGTTCTTTACAAACACATCCCTCGCTACGCATCCACGCATGCTCTGGTGGAAACGCAGCATGGCCTTGCCACACTGGCGGATTGCAAGCGTTTTCAAAGCGGAGCTGTGACGCGGCGGAGACGTCGCGGTTGCGCAACGTTTTCGCCTCATGTTCGCCGCGGAGACTGTGCGTGTTCGCTGCGTCGCCGCTCCGCTTTGAAAACGCTTGAAATCCGCCAGTGTGGCAGCTCACTAAGACCGGTTTAATATCCGTTCCAGCTTCTGGACATTGTGTACCGCGAAGAGACCCTGTTGAACGTAATGCGCTCAGTGACACGCAACGGGCGGTCGATCCTACTGACGGCCGTACTGGCGCTGGTGCTGGTCTACATGTTTTCCATCGTCGGCTACATGTTCTTCCGGGACCACTTCCTCGTCAGCGTAGATCGGCTCGATGGTGAGTGATTTATAACTGTATGTACCCTGGATACAAATACCAAGAAGATAAACCTTCTAGCAAGACGAAGATTACCAATGACTAGGCAGCATGGTCTTTAACCTTACTTAGGCTCATAAGTGCCACTTGTGGTCTAAACTGAACAAATATTTTAGATTTTTTTTTAGCCTATTCCAGAACCAAAAAATAAAATTGAAACTGCAATGACTCATGACAGGATGTGAAGTGATTGGTGACAGGACAGGCGCCTTGTTATCTATGAACAACGATTCATACCCTGTGACAGATGTGCTGTGACTTGCAGACCCGATAATATCTATTGATCACAGTGCTTTGAAACATGATAGGTAGACTCACTAGGCAAAGGCAGTAAACGCTCTCGTCGACCCTTCTCTTTGAAAAACAACGGGAAATTTCGTGGCTTAAGCATATCGCAGGATTCACCGTTAATGTATAGTGACGTCACTTATGTAACTACCGTCGAAAGTAGCTAATAAAACATTAAAAAAAATAAACTTTCGAGTTTCATTTGAATAAACTCAGAAAGACTGAGTAACTTGGGTCTGAACAAATTTTTATATGAGTTACTTATGTACTTACGGTTTGACATTTTGGATGTGTTGCGTTGAGACTCGTGTTTCTCTATTTGAAGTAAAAAGAAATGCTTTAACCCTAGGGTTTCCAAAGTGTGCGCTTTAGTTTCATATTATAAAAATATTTTTTTTTTTTTTGCAATCTACGTACTTAACTATCAACTATCATTAAAGGTTCCTATTACTTTCGAGTTTCGACTGTATCTTTTTCAAAGAGTAGGGCGTTGTGACAAAATACTAAATTTGTAACTGCGCAGCGAGATGGAAAAGATTGGGAACCCCTGCTTTAACCTGTCTTCGTATCTCCAGACGACGACGACCCTCGTTTCGGCACCGACGACTGCTCCGGCAGCTCGAAATACCTCTCTCCTGAAAGCTGCCGGCGCTCGCGCTCGCGCTTCGTGTCGGTGGGCGGCGACCTGCGCGAGCGCAGCTGCGACTCGCTCATCATGTGCATCGTCACCACCCTCAACCAGGGGCTGCGGAACGGCGGCGGCATCGGGGACATCCTGCGCGCCCCTGCTAGCTTCGTGAGTGACGTCATCATCATTTCAGCCCCAGGATCCGCTGCTGAACATAAGCCTGAATGCGAGGAGTGCATAACTGGTCATTGTAGAAACCTTAGGAAGGTTCCAGCAGTGGACGTCATTTGACTGAAATGAACGAACATAGGCCTCCCTAATGATTTTCAGATTGGCTGGTTTGAAAATTATCAGTCCATTGCGTTGATGTCTAACAATTGACGTGCGTTCGCGCATCCTAGATTGGCCAGCTGACAACATTAGTCAATTGTTTTCCACGATACGTCATCATCATCAAGTCATTTAGTCTCTACTGCCAGAAGACTGCCATCTTATTCACCGGTTGCAACGTAGGATTTGGCCTACACTCCCCATTCTGGCCAGACGAGTTGGGGAGGTCTGATGTTCACATAGTTCTCTCTCAGTCGCCTCCTACGTCATCCCCTAAAAGAGTGAGTAGTCCTATTCCACTCTGCCGGATCCACACAGCTTTATGAGTGTCCTCCGGGCTCCAAGCGACCTCGTGACAGCAGGTCCCCACCTGCGACGACTGCTCCGGCAGCTCGAAGTACCTCTCTCCTGAAAGCTCTTNATGCGAGAAAAAAAATTTAAGCAGTTTTTAGGTCAAATTTCGGGAAAATCTGAAACAAGTATAAAAATTGTCATATCTCCTAAACTATAAAACTTTAGCCATAGAAAGTAAGGTTCAATAATTAGAAAATGACCTCCTCTATACGCGTATTAGCTATAGCGGGTTCAGTTCCAGTCTTCCTGTATAAAAGTGTCTAAATAATAATGGCGTTATTTCACACTTCGAGTGGGTTTTTTCTATTATAAAATTACTACTAATTCCATTGAGTTATGAACCCATATAACCATAATAGTTCAGCGACGACTAGCGTTCTCCGAATCTTGAGTTACCCAGTCCGACAACATCACCGTTGAACTACAATAGTTCAAACTAAACCAGTAAATGCCAAGTTTGTCCTCAGAACTCACAGTGAAGTTTATAGGCACAGATAGCCTATATCCACCACTAGTGAACTGCATCAAAGTATCGAAGTTCGAACTAAATATCCAATAAGGTGTCAATTTAAGTTCAACCGAGATATCTAACGTCCACCGAAGTTTAGTTATTAACATAACATGTTATCAGCTACTTGTCGAACTTCGATGGCCGAAGTAAGATAGAGAGATCAACCATAGAGTAGGAAAGCGCAGTTGATCACAAATTTTAATCATAAGTGCCACCAGTGGTCAAAATTGAATAAAAATATTTTTGACTTACAGCGGCCACCCGCGACTTCTTACTCGTGGATCCCGTTTTACCCCCTTAGGGGTGGAGTTTCGTAAAATCCTTTCTTAGCGGATGCCTACGTCATAACATCTATTCATAATTTCAGCCCGATCAGTGGTTTGGGCTGTGCGTTGATAGATCACGAATTATCGGGGACATTCTTGCTCGGCACTATGAAATCGATCTATTTGCAAATAGTTTAGGACATCTCTTAAATCAATTTTGGATTAAATTAAACGACTTTTATACATATTGACAATTTGACATTATTTTATTGTTTCTATTTTGATTTTATTTGATTGATTATTAATTTACTACTTTATTATGACATTATTTTCATAATTTACTTGTAATTTGAAATTTAATTGTTCTATTGACATTCGGTAATTTGATTTAAACGTATTGTTTTATTTAATTGACTTGATTATTATTATATTGACATTGAATTAACTATTATTATATTGACATGCATGATGATAACCTATGTACAATTAGTCTTATAAGCGCTTTGGAATATATTCTGTTAGCTTGTAAGATGATTGAATAATAAATAAATAAATAAATAAATCACTTATTCGCATTACGCACGCATTAGTCACTCTACTACCTGCTCACTTCTGTTGCCCTGGTACTTCATTATGGCTTCGAAACACAACACAAATGTTGATGTAGACAGCGACATGTCAANCCGTTAAGGTCGCATTGTGATCTGTATTTCTCTATCTTGTCACCTATTGTATAAAATATGATAGCACTTAGAAGTATTGAACTTCTATGGTACAAAATCGAATATCTATATATATAAAAATGAAACCCGTTTCGCGTTGTCACGGCATCACGTGTGAACGGCTGAACCGATTTCGATAATTCTTTTTTTTAAATGTTTGTGGAAGTCCAAGGATGGTTCTTACGGAAAAAAATATTAAGAAAATCTCTACGCTAAGGCGGTACGAAGTTCGCCGGGTCAGCTAGTGATTAAATAAGTATACTTACAAATACAACTTTGATTTATTTATAGAATACATGGAGCTTGAAGAAGAGATGTCTCGTGACAAAAAAGCACTGCTCGAAGAATTCGAGCGGAGACGCAAAGCTCGGCAGCTAAATGTGTCTACTGACGATGATGAGGTAAGTTAATCATGCACTTTGTAACCTATTTATGTCTATACAGGGTGTTTCAAAAAGTAGTGTTAAGCTTGAAGCTCAGAGGTAGAGCATCAGTAATTCAGTAGGGCTACCAGAATCACCCCTATGTATGGGCTGCAATTTTTGATAGTTTTCGAGTTATGATTGTTTTAAATTTCTATGCTTTGACAGTTTTTTGGTCACTGTGGCGCGGATAGTCAAGGTACATGCCTGATTTTTCTGCCGCTGGCCACTTGCATCCATTTACTCCAGCATGTTACCAGATAATATCTGTCCATGTTAGGCGGTCTTCCTCTGCTGCAGGTGTCATTACTGGGTCTCCACTCCAAGGTCTTTCTGGCGCAGCAAATGCAGTTAATTTATTTATTTATGTATCTGACATAATTTTTACATCACATTGACTAAAATGCCAAATATGAAAATATCTTAGTTTCATGTAATATTTTATTAATCACAGGTACGCAGAAGTCTTCGTCAGCTCGGTGAACCGGTGTGCCTCTTCGGTGAGGGTCCGGCTGAGAGGAGAGTCCGTTTGAGGGACTTGCTTAGTTAGTAAGTACATTAATTCGTTCAGCAGTAAGATTGAGATAGATAGAGTGACTTGACTTACTTGACTTATGGTCCTATGTCCCCTAGATGGGGCAGAGGGCGTNATGAGTGTCCTCCGGGCTCCAAGCGACCTCGTGACAGCAGGTCCCCACCTGCGACGACTGCTCCGGCAGCTCGAAGTACCTCTCTCCTGAAAGCTCTTCCTCTTCCCCCCGGACCACCGAAAGGTGTTGACGTGCCTTGTGCTCTGTTATTATTTTAAAATCAATTATAAATTAAAATCAGTGAAATTTAATTCGTCTACAATAATAGGAGCGCATAACAACTGAGGAGCTATTGCTGCGCCCCGTCGTTCCGGTTTCTAGTCACGCCCCTGCTGCGCGTGATTTGTCACTCGTGACACCGGACGCCGCGCCTACTGCGTGACGCATAGTCCCGGCTGCTAATCGGTGAGTCGCTTGCGCAGTCTCCGCCCAAACGCATTACGCACGCATTAGTCACTCTACTACCTGCTCACTTCTGTTGCCCTGGTACTTCATTATGGCTTCGAAACACAACACAAATGTTGATGTAGACAGCGACATGTCTATCTGCATAGCGGAGGAAGAAAATACGCCGCCTAACTTTGTAACGCAACGCTCACAGAGGCGCGAAAATAGAGATCCGTCTAATGAAACAATGAGTGAACAATTCAACGATTTTAAGGAGGAAATGAGAAAACTAGTCACATTCTTTATAACATCACAAAAAAAAGAACTTTCAGACATTAATTTGACTCTCAAGGAAATAAAGGAATCGAATCAGAGCATACAAAGTTCAATCGCTTACTTAACAGATCAAAATGAGGATTTTAAAAAGAAAATTGCCTTAATGGAAAACCACATTAAGGAAGACAGGCAGTATATTGGGTTCCTCGAGGAAAAACTGGAAGATCTGCAAATCGGGAGCCGAAAATCTAACTTTGAGATGAAAAATGTGCCCAGAAAGGATAATGAGAATAAACAGGATTTGATAGATATGGTGCTCTGCCTATCGGAGACTATAGACTGCAAAATTAATAGAAGTGACATTAAAGATATCTACAGACTAAAAGGAAAAAAATCGGAACAGAAAAATACANGAGATTATTCTGTAACATAGTTTCAAAAGGTAATTTATGTGCTCGCGATTCGTTGAAGGAATCAATTTGAAAACTGACGAACCTTTTCATTCCGTGACTGTACATCGTTAAACCGGTTTAATAGGTATTACGGTACCCACCGTAATACCTATTAAACCAAGTTGATCCACGATTGGTTCAATCACAAAAACTAGCTTTACTTGGATGTGATATTGAACAAAGAATATCAGTATTGGGTTTCCTGTATCATGTCGTAGACAATAGGCTGACGGGTAGAAGCGGATTTTTTTCGCCGAACACAAAGCGCCCTAATCCAATATCTTGTATCGGCCCGGATCCCATAGAGCGCGGCGTTAATTGATTGCCGCTGAAGATGATCGATGCCATAGACAACAATGCATTGCGAGTGCAAACTCTATGGTTCTTGGCCAAATAATAAATTATGAAGCTAAGGCCAACGTAGAATTTCATAAAACGACTTATCTTATCATTGGTTTGATTGGAGAATTATTAAAATTTAACAAAGGCATTAAAACTCTAACTTCAAGTTGACAATACCAACGTATCATATAAATATCCTGAAAACCCCAGGACGCAAGCAAAATTATTGTACAAAGTAAAATGAAGTATATCGTAAATCGTTTCAGAGGCTCCGTTTTGGGCCCCGATATGTTATGGTTATACCCTCTCTAGCGATGATGGGAGCCCGCAGATGCCGAGGGCCCGCGGGGAAGCCCCGGCGCACGCCCCGGCGCGACCCGCAGTATCGGGGAACGCTGTAAAACTATTCATTCACTGTCCCTCGAGTGCATTACCGATATATTCTTGTTCCAGAGGTACTTTTCTTTTATTTTTCTAATACTGGCTGGATTTTGTGAAACAAATAGATATTTAGAAATCCAAATATTGTCTCAAATCTTTGATAAGACCCCGCCCAAAAGACGATATTTTATTATACCAATTAAAATAAGTAAAATAGGTCCTTACTCCTTACTATTATAAATGAATTATCTATTTTTTGGATTAAAATACTTTGTGTTTCAATTTATCAAAAAATTAAGTAGCAATATTTGTTTTATAAGAAGTATTGAAATATTTTTCATAATGTCTCACCTTCAACTGTGAGTTCGGAGTTCGAAAATATTGTCGGTACATTAAATATTAGCAAAAAATGAGATGTTTAAAACTGAATATTTTTTTCTCGAAACATCTAAAAAATATCCCGCCGTGATTATTGACCAGCTACATTCCGTGGGCCTATTTCACAGTCAATTTGGCGGCGCTCGCAGGCGAATGATAATGCTCCTAAAACCACTTCAGCCCGCGCATCTGCCAAGTCCTTGGAGCGTTCAACTCATAATATTAAAGAAATACGACATTACATAGAATTTTATATAATTTTAAATATTGATTATGATAATAATATAATTATTACTTACTTAATTTAACTACCAAATACAAATTAGCCTGTAAGTTAAATTAAAAATGCAACTAACAACTGGTACACTGTCGTATGAGAAAACTTTTAGCCTTGAGAAAGATTATGAAAAGTTTCGAAGTTAAATACATAGTACATGACGTCTTAGCTCAAAACAAACGAAGCCAAGTACATAAATCTTCAATGTTTGTCTAATTTTAACCACAGATTAAGCACTTACAGAAGTCTGAACCCCTACTCCGCTAAACGATTTCAATATAATTTAACCCTATTATTCATGTAAAGTGCTAAAGGGACAGACGGATAAGTCAATTTATAAAATCCGCTATTCGGAATAGACCTATAAGACCTGATTTGCGTGCCTATGTACTCGTATGTACCCCTCTCGTATAATTACTTTGTGATAGTAGAGTATTGAACTGTCTTACGAAACTTATAGTAAACACGGCATAGGTAAGAGGGTTTAATATGCCACGCAATTTTGTATACCCATTCTTATAAGATACATCATACAAGATTGCGTGTTAAATTCAGTTAACTGCTCCTGAATCAAATGTTCCTACTACTGCTTTTTCTATTTATTTATATTAACCGGCAGACAGTCAGTGGTGACTGAGTTTGTTGCGGCGCTTCTTCTCAGCACTTGCCAAATGTTGGTCTCGAAGCGCTGGTAGGGTAAAAAGATTATGAGACATGTAGAGGCTCCTTAAGAGCAAAATGACGATTTGTAAGAACTATTTATTAGTCTAAACAAATAAAGAAATTTTGACTTTGACTTTGACCTGGTAGTTCGGAAAATAGCGACTTTTCCGAAGTCGACTCGCGCGGGTCCGAGAGTAGGGGCGCGTGCGACGTACGAGTATTAGCTCAGCAGCCGCTCGCTTGCTTCGCTGTGTTTGTGTAAAGGAACTCCGCGGGTTCCCTCCGGCGATTATCTTTTCGTGGTCCTAATCCCTCGCAGAAGGTTTTAAGGAATTCCAATCATATACTCCAATAACTCCATGAATCAACTTTACATCTGTTGTAATGAATAAATAGAATGTAGAGTTAAAACGCTATCTCAAAATACCCAGAGTCTAACAAACAGGGTTATGAAAATACTGCAAAAACAGCTTCGGAATATTCTCACAAAATAAACAAGTGTAGATCAAGTACCTATGTTGGGAAGAAAAACAGGGAACAAACCACAGGATTGCTGGAATATTTGGGAGGCCGGCCGGCGACCCGCTACATGGAGCTGGAACGCCTTTGGATACGATTATTTCTTGTTTTGAAAACTTTGAAAGTTTTTATGTTCCACTTCGAGTTCACAGAGAAAATGCCGAAATAATAAGTATTATGAAGAGAACATCAATTAATGTTGTCAATCTACATAAATGCAAGTGCTTCTACTACCCTAAATAACATATTTGAGTAGATAGATACATTATAAATATTTGCTACATCGCTCTAATTTTCGTAGCGGATCATAAAGCCACCTCCGTAGCATTTCAATCTGCTACGAGAACTATGTCACTAACATAAAGCTTAGCTCAGGAATCTCGGGATCGCAATCGATAATTAATCCAATGATATCTCACGTTTGAGCTCGGTAGCGTGCTTTGGACTTTATGAAGAAAAACTAACTCGGCGCATGTTCTGTACCGCGCTCAAACAAGTTATTAAACCCGCTGAAATAAAGAGAGTCCTCCAATTTTATACGAGCTCCCCGGGCAAATAATACGGGCTGCGGGACCCGCGTCACATTATAGTTTGTTAAATGACAACACATCCTGCGGCGGTCCCGGTCGGAATCTTTTTGTTACATTCTCCATGTTGAGGTTCAGTATATTTTTGTAGTATGAAGGCATGCAGGACGGCCTTTCGGCAACGACATAATAAACCGCTATGTAATTACAACTTTAAGCCTTCCTGTTCATGAAGGAAAATAACGTCAACGGGTCATGCAAATAGAAATATTAATGAACATTAATCATTAAATAAATAAAACAGTAGGTAATTCTGACGGGAGTTTTCAGCAGACTCAGTCTGGGCCATTTCGAAAATATTGAAGATTCCTCAATTAGTCTGAGAACCGAAAGAGTTAATTTAATTTGTGGTAGAAATTAATTTGTATCCTAAAATCAGTGCGTCCTTTAAAATTGACCGAATAAAGTGGCATCGCTGCGAGGCAGACTTGTCACCATCCATTAATTATCGTCATGAATTTTTCAAAATAAATGAAGTTGCCGTCATTAATTAAGTTATAATTTATTGAGACGAAATACGCGCGATAACGAGCGCCGTCTCGAGCCGGAGGCAGTGGGCTCACTCGTGTGGAAAAACGAAATTATTTGTATAGGGTCCTTGTTACCTATCTGAGAAATTATTTCAATTTCGTTACAAAATTAGAGTTTATTTGAACATAAAAAGAAGTACAAATAATAAGTCATTGTACTCGTATAATCTATAGTAACTAAGTTATTC